CTGGGGTGATAAGTTGGCAATGTGGGTTTCCCCCCCTGTGGGGCATATTGCCTGGCTTTTTCCAGTGTATCTGGTGCTTGTGAGATGGGGAAGTCCAGAGCATTCTGTTCCGCCTCCGCCCTTCTCCCTCCTCTGCTCAGCTCCGCTTGGCTTGCTTCTAATCATGTTGACTCTAATTAGTTAATTAAATAAGGAGGTCTCCTAGAAGTCTGGCCTCCCTACCATGTTTTGATGGGGGCCTCTGGGGCTGTGTTCTCGCCACAGTTTGGTAAGGATCCCATGTCCACTTGATGATTAGCCAGTTTTTCCTTCCAGGGGGTGGGGACACCATTTTCTGGGAATGTTTTATATGGGGGAGGGAGAGAAGGGGTTGAATGCTTGCTTGGTTGGCATCCATCTCTCCTCCAAGAGACAATGGAGTACCGTATTTTTCGCTCTATAAGATGCACCAGACCATAAGACGCACCTAGTTTTTGGAGGAGGAAGGCAAGAAGAAAAATATTCTGAATCCCAGAAGCCAGAACAGCAAGAGGGATCGCTGCGCAGCAAAAGCAGCAATCCCTCTTGCTGTTCTGGCTTCTGCGAAAGCAACACAAAACCTCTTCAGGGCAGGGGGAACGTCCCTGAAGGACGTCCCTGAGGAGGCTTCGCGCGACTATCCCAGAAGCCAGAACAGCAAGAGGGATCGCTGCGCAGCGAAAGCAGAGATCCCTCTTGCTGTTCTGGCTTCTGGGATAGCTGCGCAGCCTGCATTCACTCCATAAGACGCACACAGGTTTCCCTTTACTTTTTAGGAGGGAAAAAGTGCATCTTATAGAGCGAAAAATACGGTGCATCTCCGGAGGTGAAGTCAAACTGCTGCATTTGCAGACCAAAGTGACCTCCCTTGGGCCCAAGCCTGGGCAGTGTGTCTGGAGGTGTCATCACTGAGGGGGGTGACCAAATGCCGGGTGGCACTCACCGCGGGGCCTGCACCCAAACCACCGCAAATCCTCCCTCCTTAAGTGACTTGTGGGTTTGCAAGGATGGGAGATGGGGGCAGGGGTCACTCCTTTTGCAGATTTTGAACTAAAAGGTTAATCTGGCGTGGGAGCATTGGGTAGGCCTTGTTTGATGGCTTCAGCTTTGCTTTTGGAGCGAGGGCCACATTGCCCTGTTAGAAACCCCTTGGGGGCCACATTCCAGCAGAAGTGGTTGGGCTGTGGGGCAAATTTGGTTTAGTTCACACCGAACGGTGGATCTGTCCAATTTGAACTTTCTGAAATGATACGAGAACGGAAAGTCATGTTTTGAAATTGACACATAATTCAATTCTGCGATGTCTCTCCTGGGAGAGACGGGGTGGCTTGGGCGTGCGCAGGCTCCCCGCTGCCCAAACGGTCTGCCCGCTGCCTCCCCCCCAGCTGTAAGGCGGCTGAGTGGGAGGAGGAAGGCCCCTTCCTCCACTGCTGACAACAAGACCCTCCTCTTGGCCTTGCTGATGTGGCCCAAAGGAAACCAAAGCAAGATGTTTGGCACCAGCTGGGCTGCAGGAGTTGCTAGAAGGAGGCGGTCAAGGCGCCACCCCACCGCCTTAGGGACTCCGTTCCGGATTTGTGTAGGGTTTATTCCTTAGCCTTTTCTTCTCCCAAAGACGTCCCACAAGGCAGTGGAGGTTTAGGGCCAGAGTTTTCCTTCTTCTAGATGGGCTCCCTTCCCAGGTGGATGAGCCCCACCTGCCCCTCACTTCCCTTTATGGGCAGAAACCGCCTTCTTGACCATTGGGCCCACTCTTGGCCTTCTCGGTGGTGGCACCCGCCCTGTGGAACACCCTCCCACCAGATGTCAAAGAGAAGAACAACTACCAGACTTTTAGAAGACAACCGAAGGCAGCCCTGTTTAGGGAAGCTTTTAATGTTTAACAGACCACTGTATTTGAATACTTTGTTGGAAGCTGCACAGAGTGGCAGGGGAAACCCAGCCAGATGGGCGGGGTATAAATAATAAATTATTATTATTATTATTATTATTATTATTATTGGTCTCATCTGCTCCATCTGCCAGAGTGGGTCTTCACATGCCGGGGAAGCCCCTAACTCACTGAGGGTTTGAGACCCATCAACTCCCCTCGCCTGATTTAGCTGGCCAGTCGAAGTCATTTTTCTTTTCCCGATCTAGCAGAATAATTTTTTTTGTGAAATAAATAAAAAGTACAGTGGTACCTCGGGTTACATACACTTCAGGTTACATATGCTTCAGGTTACATACGCTTCAGGTTATAGACCCCACTAACCCAGAAATAGTGCTTCAGGTTAAGAACTTTGCTTCAGGATGAGAACAGAAATCATGCTCCAGCGGCGCAGCAGCAGCAGGAGGCCCCATTAGCTAAAGTGGCGCTTCAGGTTAAGAACAGTTTCAGGTTAAGAACGGACCTCCGGAACGAATTAAGTACCGTATTTTTCGCTCTGTAAGACGCACCAGACCACAAGACGCACCTAGTTTTTGGAGGAGGAAAACAAATATTCTGAATCTCAGAAGCCAGAACAGCAAGAGGGATCGCTGTGCAGTGAAAGCAGTGATCCCTCTTACTGTTCTGGCTTCTGGGATAGCTGCGCAGCCTGCATCCGCTCCATAAGACACACACACATTTCCTCTTACTTTTTAGGAGGAAAAAAGTGAGTCTTATAGAGCAAAAAATACGGTACTTAACCCGAGGTACCATTGTAAATAAACTTTCTAAAATGAATAGCAGATTACAGGTAATTTAGGCAACATATCCTTCTGTCAAGGGCTTCCCCGTCTTCTCCCCCAAGTTTCCCTCCCAGCCTTAGGATTCCCCCACCCCAAAGATTTGGGGTTTCCTGCTCCTCTCCTGTGCTGTGGGGAGAGAGATGCCCCTTCTCTTATCCGCAGGAGCTGAAGTTTGGAGGATTCTCCTAAGAGCATTCTGTGTGTTGTGAGAGAGATTTAGAATTTTAAGTTTGCTTCGTGCTTTCCTTTAATTTATTTAAGAGGCATTTTGTCATCTGCCCAGGAGATTTGGCACTTGAGTTTTATTTTAGTGTTGTATATACTTTCAATATTTTTTTGCTTTGATCTGAGTTAAGTCCTGTTTGACGTGACCTTGTGTGGCTTCCACGCCGTATAAAGCTTTTGTGGTGGTCCGATGATTTGTATACAAATGGATCTGTTCTTATCTGAGGTTTTTTTAAAAGTGCATTTGGACTGATGGTTTGTGTTCTTTGTGGTTTCTGTGCAATTTGTTTTCTTTCAACAAAAGTCCCCTGCATTGGCTTTATTTTAATTTTTTTTAATCTCTCGTCGTTAGGAGCCCAAGAAGCTCTGGTATTCTGACAGTTTATAATAAACGTAATCCTCTGGGCTCCCTCTAAAAGCAAACTCAAGTCGTGGATGGAGACAGGATTGGCACCAGTAAGAAACAGGAAAGGGGCCGTATCAGCACACACGCCATGTTTGAAGCATTAAGTAGTGCAAGTTTTGAAGTACAGGCAGTCTGGTGTAGTGGATAGAGCGCTGGACTGGGAGAGACCAGGGTTCAAATCTTCCCACTCAGCCCTGAAGCTTGCAGGTGGAGGGTGGGGTTTGTTACTGTCTCTCAGCCTAACTTTCCTCACAGGGTTGTGGGAGGGCGAGGAGAACTATGTGCCTTGCAACTGTGAGCTACTTGGAGGAAAGGTGCAAATGGAATAAATCATAATTTAAGAAGCCAAGGGAGTAAAACAACAGCAGACACCGGATCTGAGCACAATCCATTCAGAAAAGAAAACTGAGAAGTGGAATGGAATGTTCCTGCAGGGTTAGCTGGCAGCTGGACCAAGAACATTCCTATTAGAAAATTGGTATTGTTATAATGAGGCTGCTATTGGAACAATATTGCAATACAGTCATGCCTCATGTTACGTCCGCTTCATGTTACGTTCTTTCAGGTTACATCCCACGGCGACCCAGAAGTGCCAGAATAATAATAATAATAATAATAATAATAATAATAATAATTTATTTATATCCCGCCCTCCCCAGCCAAAGCCGGGCTTAGAACAGCTAACAACGGTAAAATGATACAACATTCTAAAATCATTTCATTATAAAATCAGTTCAAATCAGATTAATGGCAACCATTGGGCTAGAGGTCTGTGAAGATTGCCAAAGGAGGGGGTCAGGCTGTGCCCTGGCCAAAGGCCTGGCGGAAGAGCTCTGTCTTGCAGGCCCTGTGGAAAGATGTCAAGTCCTGCAGGGCCCTAGTCTCTTGGGACAGAGCGAAAGGGTTACTTCTGGGTTTCGCTGCTCACGCATGAGCGCAAAATGACGTCACGCGCATGCGCAGAAGTGGCGAATTGCAACCTGCGCGTGCACAGATGCGCCGCTGCGGGTTGCGCTCTTTTCATGTTGTGAATGGGCCTCCAGAACGGATCACGTTGACAACCAGAGGTACCACTTTGAGTGTGTGTGTGTGTGTGTGTAAACATATATGAACACTCCTGTTACACACACATACATGCATACACATGCACACATATCTGAACTGCAGCAAAATTTTGCAGCGCGCTGTCGTGTCCTAATGACAAACGCTGTTGGTTCAGAGCCCACCATCAATTTGGAAGCAAAACGGAACACCCTCCCTGCAAAAAAAACCCACAGTAGTTTTTACATATTAATTTATTTACTTCAGCTTTATTTACTGTGGGGAGGGAAGAGGGGGTCCCCTAGGAACTCTCAGGAGTCTTCTAAGTAATTATTGTTTCCCCAATTATTTGGGCCGGGGGGGGGGAGAAGATATGACTGTTGTGGTATCAAAGTGCTTTCAATGTGTGGGGAGAACGTGCTCCATGTCTTTTCATCTGTAGCACAGAAATCGGGGACCCGGGGATAATGACACTGGCGTACCTCGCAGGGTTGTTGTGAAGATTCTCTTTCAGGGAACCCACGTCGACCCCACGACCCCAAAGAGTCTCACGCACTATTGTGTCACCCCCCCAACTCCTCTCGATGCAGGAATCACGATGTTCACCAGCATCACGGACGGGCTCCTGTGTTGCCTGATGGGCAAGACCCCCAACGCCGTGGGTCCCCTGGAGAGCGTCGAGTCCAGCGACGGGTTTAGCTTCGTGGAGGTGAAGCCCGGCCGGGTCCTGCGGGTCAAGCACCTGGCCCCCGCCCGCCCACCGGGGGCCGAGGACGCGCCCCAGACGGCGGGCGTCGTGCGCTGCAAGCGCCGCATCACCGTTTACCGCAACGGCCAGATGGTCATCGAGAACCTGGGCGACGCCGTCCGCGCCGACATCCTCCACTGCCAGAACGGCTCCGAAGCCAACGGCACAATGGAGCTGGAGGTCTCGGACGCTGCCAGCGCGGCCACCCCCTCGGCCAACCCCCCCGGTCCCGGCCCTGCCAAGCGCCGCCGACGGAAGCCGAAGAAGGTGGTCAACGTCGACTGCACCAAGTTCATCACCAGCTGCAAGGGCACCCACAGCGACGTGGTCCTCTTCTTCATCCACGGCGTGGGGGGCTCTCTGGACATCTGGAAGGAGCAGTTGGACTTCTTTGCCAAGTTGGGCTACGAGGTGGTGGCCCCCGACCTGGCCGGACACGGGTGCAGTTCGGCTCCACAGATCGCCGCTGCCTACACTTTTTACGCCCTGGCGGAAGACATGAGGGCCGTCTTCAAGCGCTACGCTCGGAAGAGGAACATCCTCATCGGGCACTCCTACGGGTAAGGGCGAGGGGAGGGTCCCCAACCCCGTTCATTCCATTCCGTTGAATACTGGTTTCATTGGAGCGGGCCAGGAATGTGTGTGTGTTGATTTCTAAAGCTTATTCTAACCTTCCTCGCAAGGTTGTTCTGGGGATCAAGTGAGCAGGGAGGGGAGAGCCATTTCTGAGCTTCACCGCGCCCCGCACACTCCATTTCACTCTGCCCCGTGTTCCATCAAATGTCGGTTTTGCTGTAGGGGATTTCTGCAGCTTATTCCAGAACTGGAGGCCATCCCCTGAGAGCAGGGAGAATTTAGCTTAGGTATATTTCGAAGGGAGCAGTAGGTTGGAGCGTATGAACCGAAAGGAAAGGAACGTATCACTGAAACCGTTTTTTAAATTGTAAACATAAGGGAAAGAAAGGAGACGGAGATTGGGAAATGCAAGCGAGGAAACGCTGTCTTGGCAGCGCAGTGATAAAAAGGCTGAGAAAATCAGAAGAGCCCATCTAATGCTGTATTGCGTTTTTAATATTCGATTGGGAGCCGCCCAGAGTGGCTGGGGAAACCCAGCCAGAGGGATGGGGTATAAATAATGAATTATTATATTAATGCAGCCTCCTGCCCCCACAGGGGCCAGAAAGATGCCCTCAAAGGGAAGCCCCCAAGCAGCATTCAGGCACAAGGCCTCTCTCTCCCCCTCCATTATGGCCTCTGAACGTGGAGGCAGAGCCAAGGGTAGAAATATTTGATGTAAATGGATGTGTCCTCTCCCAAGTTCAGACACAAATTCACAGGTACGCTGCAGGTGACCTGAATGAAGCTCATGGACCTTTGGTAGTCTGCAGACCACAGTTTAAATCATCATCATTTTCATCCCAGGAAGCCAGGCATAGGGGCACCTTCTGTTATTCCCCCCACTCAGGAACGTGAAGGTAGACTGCTCTTGAAAATGGAGGCTCTTTCAACGCACGTGAATAGCAGCTTTGGCAAGCTTCCTCCTTTCTGGCTTTAGATATGACCCAGCCTACTCATAACCTGGACTACAATTCCTATCATCCAGGGTGGGCTGCAAACATCATCATCATCACCATTATTCTTATTAGTAGTAGTAGTAGTAGTAGTAGTAGTATACCACCTTATACCTGCAAGTCTCAGGGCAGTTCACAACGTAAAATCACAACATAAAAACACAAAATACATAATAAAAACGAAAACAACCCAATAAACTCACCAACACATTTTAATAGGGCATTGGATGTCAATCAGTCAAAGGCCTGGTTAAAGAAGAACATTTTTGCCTGATGGCCAAAGGTATACAACAACAACAACAACAACAACAACAACAACAACAACAACAACAACAACAACAACAACAATTTATTATTTATACCCCGCCCATCTGGCTGGGTTTCCCCAGCCACTCTGGATGGCTTCCAACAGAATATTAAAATACAATAACCTATTAAACATTAAAAGCTTCCCTAAACAGGGCTGCCTTCAGATGTCTTCTAAAAGTCTGGTAGTTGTTCTCTTTGACATCTGGTGGGAGGGCGTTCCACAGGGCAGGTGCCACCACCGAGAAAGCCCTCTGCCTGGTTCCCTATAACCTCACTTCTCGCAGTGAAGGAACCGCCAGAAGGCCCTCGGCGCTGGACCTCAGTGTCCGGGCTGGACGATGGGGGTGGAGACGCTCCTTCAGGTATACTGGACCGAGGCCGTTTAGGGCTTTCAAGGTCAGCACCAACTCTCTGAATTGTGCTCAGAAATGTACTGGGAGCCAATGTAGGTCTTTCAAGACCGGTGTTATGTGGTCTTGGCGGCCGCCCCCAGTCACTAGTCTAGCTGCCGCATTCTGGATTAATTGCAGTTTCCGGGTCACCTTCAAAGGTAGCCCCACGTAGAGCGCATTGCAGTAGTCCAAGCGAGAGATAACCAGAGAATGCACCACTCTGGCGAGACAGTCCGCGGGCAGGTAGGGTCTCAGCCTGCGTACCAGATGGAGCTGGTAGAGAGGCCGCCCTGGACACAGAACTGACCTGCGCCTCCATGGACAGCTGTGAGTCCAAAATGACTCCCAGGCTGCACACCTGGTCCTTCAGGGGCCTAGTTATCCCATTCAGGACCAGGGAGTCCCCCACACCTGCCCGCCCCCTGTCCCCCCAAAACAATACTTCTGTCTTGTCAGGATTCAACCTCAAGCTGTTAGCCACCATCCATCCTCCAACCGCCTCCGGGCACTCACACAGGACCTTCACTGCCTTCACTGTTCTGATTTGAAAGAGAGGTAGAGCTGGGTATCATCCGCATACTGATGAACACCCAGCCCAAACCGCCTGATGATCTCTCCCAGCAGCTGCATGTAGATGTTGAAAAGCATGGGGGAGAGGACAGAGCCCTGAGGCACCCCACAAGTGAGAGCCCAACGGTCAGAAGAGTGACTAGTGGGGTGCCACAGGGTTCTGTCTTGGGCCCGGTCTTATTCAACATCTTTATCAACGACTTGGATGATGGACTCAAGGGCATCCTGATCAAATTTGCAGATGACACCAAACTGGGAGGGGTGGCTAACACCCCAGAGGACAGGATTACACTTCAAAACGACCTTGACAGATTAGAGAACTGGGCCAAAACAAACAAGATGAATTTTAACAGGGAGAAATGTAAAGTATTGCACTTGGGCAAAAAAATGAGAGGCACAAATACAAGATGGGGACACCTGGCTTGAGAGCAGTACATGTGAAAAGGATCTAGGAGTCTTGGTTGACCACAAACTTGACATGAGCCAACAGTGTGACACGGCAGCTAAAAAGCCAATGCAATTCTGGGCTGCATCAATAGGAGTATAGCATCTAGATCAAGGGAAGTAATAGTGCCACTGTATTCTGCTCTGGTCAGACCTCACCTGGAGTACTGTGTCCAGTTCTGGGCACCACAGTTCAAGAAGGACACTGACAAACTGGAACGTGTCCAGAGGAGGGCAACCAAAATGGTCAAAGGCCTGGAAACGATGCCTTATGAGGAACGGCTAAGGGAGCTGGGCATGTTTAGCCTGGAGAAGAGGAGGTTAAGGGGTGATATGATAGCCATGTTCAAATATATAAAAGGATGTCACATAGAGGAGGGAGAAAGGTTGTTTTCTGCTGCTCCAGAGAAGCAGACACGGAGCAATGGATCCAAACTACAAGAAAGAAGATTCCACCTAAACATTAGGAAGAACTTCCTGACAGTAAGAGCTGTTTGACAGTGGAATTTGCTGCCAAGGAGTGTGGTGGAGTCTCCTTCTTTGGAGGTCTTTAAGCAGAGGCTTGACAACCATATGTCAGGAGTGCTCTGATGGTGTTTCCGGCTTGGCAGGGGGTTGAACTCGATGGCCCTTGTGGTCTCTTCCAACTCTATGATTCTATGATTCTTAACACATTCCCCACCACCCTCCAGCTTATTGCACCCTCTTGCCTGCTTGCTTCTTCCCACAGAGTCTCCTTCTGCACCTTCCTGGCGCACGAATACCCGGATCTGGTCCACAAGGTGATAATGATCAATGGTGGCGGCCCCACAGCTTTGGAGCCCAGTCTATGCTCCATCTTCAACATGCCCACGTGCGTCCTGCGCTGCCTCTCCCCCTGCCTGGCTTGGAGTTTCCTCAAGTGAGTAGCCATCTTCCTTTTCGGGGGTCTCTGGGGGTCCCCAAGACAAAACACCAGTCCCCACAGATCTGTCACTCTGCGTTCTTACTGAGTATAGCAGGAGATGAAATACCACAAGACAGGAAAGAAATTGTTCTTTTATGCAACTGCAGCAGCCCGGTTACTCCTTGCAAAGAACTGGAAAGGGAATTGTATACCCACAAAAGAGAACTGGCCATATAAATTAATAGAATTTATAGAATTGGCAAAATTAACTGCGGCAATAAGATATCAAACACATCAGAAATTAAGGTCACAATGGTTGTGGTTCGAAGAGTGTATGAGTAAAGGTAAAGGTAAAGGTACCCCTGCCCGTGCGGGCCAGTCGTGACCGACTCTAGGGTTGCGCGCCCATCTCACTTAAGAGGCCGGGGGCCAGCGCTGTCCGGAGACACTTCCGGGTCACGTGGCCAGCGTGACGAAGCTGCTCTGGCGAGCCAGCACCAGCACAGCACACGGAAACGCCGTTTACCTTCCCGCTATAAAGCGGTCCCTATTTATCTACTTGCATTTTGACGTGCTTTCGAACTGCTATGTGGGCAGGAGCTGGGACCGAACGACGGGAGCTCACCCTGTCGCGGGGATTCGAACCGCCGACTTTACGATCAGCAAGTCCTAGGCACTGAGGTTTTACCCACAGCGCCACCCGCATCCTACCAGCGCCACCAGCGTCCCAACACTGCTCTAAAGAGAGTAAACACTGCTCTAAAGATAGCATGCTGATATGTTTAGACTAAGGTCGTAAAGCTGTCTTGATAATATAATAGTATATTATAAGAAATAATGTAGTGGTACATGATTTGCAATGTAAATAAGAACTTGAATGAAAAAATGACAAGCACTGGTAGAGGGAAGTCACAAAGGTGTATTAACATCCACCTATTTTATTTACTTCTTAACTTTTTTCTTTCGTTTTTCTTCTTATCCTTTCCCCCATTTTTTATTGTTATTTTTTGTTGTTATTATGATATTATGGTTGTAAGTGTATGTGTATTAATGTTTGTATGAATGTCTAATCAAATCAATCAATCAATCAATCAATCAATCAATCAATCAATTAAAAAAGACCTGCCACTCTGCATTCCATGGCTCCTGAGCATGATCTATCCTCACTGGGCTGTTGATGTGTGTGTGTGTAGCTTTTATTTTTAAAGTACCGGCCCATAGGGCGCACCTAGTTTTGGAGGGGGGAAATAAAGGAAAAAAAATATTTCCCCCCCCCAGCCCCCAGAACAGGCTGCTATCCGCAAGCCTTGGGAGCCCGGCAGGAACTCCCAAGGCTTGCGGATAGCTTCCTGAAGCCTGGAGAGCAAGAGGGGTCGGTGAACACCGACCCCTCTCGCTCTCCAGGCTTCAGCGAAAGCCTGCATTCGCCCCATAGGATGCACACACATTTCCCCTTCATTTTTGGAGGGGAAAAAGTGCGTCCTATAGGGTGAAAAATACGATAATTTCCTTTTGTGTCATGTCTTTTTATAGTCTAAGCCCTGGGTTTGCTTATTTCCTTCTCCCTCCCGGAGTATGTTCCTTTTGTGCCGTGTCTTTGTATATTGTCTTCACACACACACACACACACACACACACACACATATTAGTTTTTTTAACATATCATTTTCAACAATAATTAAACATACTTTTATATCTTATACAATTTTTTTGACTTCCATCAATCACATCTGGAAATTTTCCAATCTATTCACTTAATATACATTTCTTACTTTCACTATTACCTTTAAATCTCATAACTACTATCTCTATTCTTTCTCTACTTTGCAGTATTTCATATATTTCTCCTTACAAAACTTCTTGTAGTCCTACCAGCGTAATTTGTTGATTATAGTTCTCTTCAAATAATTTGTATATTTCTTCCAATCTTCTGTGAATCTCTGGTCCCGCAGGTTTCGAATCCTTCCTGTTCTTTTATCTAATTCTGCGTAGTCCATTAATTTTGTTTGCCATTCTTCTTTTGTCGGAATTTCTTTTTGCTTCCATTTCTAGGCTAACAACACTCTTACCGCTCTTGTTGCATATAAAAACAATTTAACATCTTGTCTATTAATATCCTCACCTATAATACCAAGTAGAAATGCTTCTGGTTTTTTTAAGAATGTATATTTCAACATCTTTTTCATCTCATTATATACCATTTCCTAGAAGTTTTTTTTACTTTCTTACATTCCCACCACATATGATAAAATGTTCCTTCTTTTTCGTCTTTGTATATTGTCTTCATTCCTTTTCTTTCTTTCACTGATTTCTCAGCTGCCCCGGGAGCCTGGCGACGAATCCTCCCAAGTATTAAACGAATAAATAAAAAAAGAATAAATATCCGTGCTGAATTAACCCTGCCCGTTTGGCTCTGCTTGCAGGGCTGGCTTTGCCCGCCAAGGCGCCAAGGAGAAGCAGCTGCTGAAGGAAGGGAACGCCTTCAACGTCTCGTCCTTCGTCCTGAGAGCCATGATGAGCGGCCAGTACTGGCCAGAGGGGGATGAGGTCTACCATGCGGAGCTGACCGTGCCCGTCCTCCTCGTTCACGGCATGCACGACAAATTTGTCCCTGTGGAGGAGGACCAGCGGATGGCTGAGGTAACGCTTTTGCAAACCTACCCTGAATCCCTGTGAAATCCCACTCCAATCCCCTGCCTTTCTCCTTGCCCGGGAGTGTTCCTTACTGTAAAGGTAAAGGGACCCCTGACCATTAGGCCCAGTTGCGGACAACTCTGGGGTTGCGGCGCTCATCTCGCTTTACTGGCTGAGGGAGCTGCCGTTTGTCTGCAGACAGTTTTTCCGGGTCATGTGGCCAGCAGGACTAAGCCGCTTCTGGTGAACCAGAGCAGTGCACGGAAATGCCGTTTACCTTCCCACCGAAGCGGTACCTATTTATCTACTTGCACTTTTTGGTATGCTTTCAAACTGCTAGGTTGGCAGGAGCAGGGACCGAGCAACGGGAGCTCACCCCATCGCGGGGATTCGAACCGCCAACCTTCTGATCGGCAAGCCCAAGAAGGCTCTGTGGTTAGATAAAGGTTCCCTGGACGGTTAAGTCCAGTCAAAGGGGACTCTGGGGTTGCGGCGTTCATCTCGCTTTATTGGCCGAGGGAGCCGGCATACAGCTTCCGGGTCGTGGCCAGCATGACTAAGCCGCTTCTGGCAAACCAGAGCAGTGCACGGAAACGCCGTTTACCTTCCCGCTGGAGCGGTACCTATTTATCTACTTGCACTTTGAGGTGCTTTCGAACTGCTAGGTTGGCAGGAGGTTTCTTACTGTAGAATTCTGCAGAACAGCAACTTCACCTCTGGCCAGTGAAACGGGATAATGTTTTCTGGTGTGCCTCAGTGAACTTGAGTGCTGTTCAATTCTATGGTTATATATGCCAGAAACAGGGAACTCTTAGAGGGTCATAAGAACCTGACATTTGCACCAGCTGTAGCCTAAGGCAAGCTGGGAGGTGCTTCACGCAGAAGTTTAGCAAGCCGCTCAGTGTAGTTCCTCCCCTCCTTTAAAAGTTTGGGGTGGGGCTTGGGGAAAGAGTGGAAGACCCTTTGGTGGGGACAGGTGAGGGGTGGGTGAGGTGTAAAAGGGCAGGTGAGGTGGGGAGCAAATGGTATATTATTATTATTATTATTATTATTTTATTTATACTCCGCCCATCTGGCTGGGTTTCCCCAGCCACTCTGGGCAGCTCCCAATTGAGTGTTAAAAACAATACAGCATTAAATATTAAAAACTTCCCTAAACAGGGCTGCCTTCAGATGTCTTATGCAGTGGTACCTCTGGGTGCGAACGGGATCCATTCCGGAGCCCTGTTCGCATCCTGAAGCAAACGCAACCCGCATCCGTGGGTCACGATTTGCCGCTTCTGCGCATGCGTGTGACGTTGTTTTGAGCGTCTGCGCATGCGCAAGCAGTGAAACCCGGAAGTAATGCACTCCATTATTTCCGGGTCGCCGTGGAGCGCAACCCGGAAATACTTAACCTGAAGCTACTTCAACCCGAGGTATGACTGTAGTAATTATTACTGTTATAACAAGAGAGTTGAGATGAGCCCTCTAAGCTTCCACGGAGCAGGGAACTGCCTTTCAAACCTTCTCCTGCCCCTTTCCTTCCCCCCCCCAGATCCTGCTCATCGCTTTCCTGAAGGTGATTGACGAAGGCAGCCACATGGTCATGATGGAGTGTCCGGAAACAGTGAACACCCTTTTGCACGAGTTCCTGTTATGGGAGCCGGAGGCTGTCCCAGCCGCGGATGGAACAGAAGCAGAGAAGAAATAAGAAATAAAAAAACCAAAACCCTTAACAGCTTCTTCGTGAAACTAGCGGCCTGCTCATGTTGCTGCTTCCAGAGGGATGTTTTTTTCTGGTTTGGAGCCTGCGGCAGTAGAAGGTGCGGCTGCGGCCGGCGGACACCTCCGCCCTGCGATGCGGGACGGCGGAAAAGGCTCTTTCCTCCTCCGCAGAGAAGCGGACTGGACCTTCGTGGGCTGGGCACATGCAGGGTCGCGGCCGAGTGAGGTGGACGCTCAAGACGGGCGGGAGGGAAGGGGTCGGCCGCTCCCTGAGCTTTTGCCCTCGCCTTCCCCCTTGTAGTGTCCTCGTTCGTTTTTTCACGCTCAGCCTCTGGAAGGCTGCAGAAAAGAGGTGTTGTGGCGCTTCCACAGGACCTGTCCCAAGATGGCAACCTCAACTCCGTTTGGGAGCCGGCCAAGCTGACTTGGGTGCGATTGAACCGACCCGGATTTGTGTACACAACTTATTAAATCGGCAACCCTGCTCCCCCCGAATTCCCTCTGCCCCTCGAAGGCCCACCGGGTGTGGTAAACAAATTCTCCACATTGGCTGAGCCAGGAAGGAGAAGGCAGTGGGGAGATTCGAACACTTGCCCATTGCTTGAGACAAGCGCCAGTGCTAGGTTCTGCCATGGGGGCAGGCGTTCCCAAGCCCCTCGCAAAGAGGTTCAGGGGGCAGGGCTCCCCGGTATTTACTCATCCATCAAGCACCTCCTCCCCTTCTCTTCACATCGCCTCCAAACCTCTGCATTCTCTGGGCAGAAGGTCCTGGAGCCCTTCTGGAGTTTGGGGGTTCGCTTCTGGTCTTTGGCAGCTTGTAAATGTACTGTGAAAAATTGCAGCACCCAAAGGTATTTCAGGGTAAAGGCACCTCTCTGCTCTCCACAATCTTTGGCACTTTGCTTGGGAGAGCAAAGTCCCCGTAACTGAGTAATTCCTTATTTTGCCAGTGCCCGATTCCTCCGTATCAAACCTTTGGAACACTCCCCTTCCTTCCCCATTCACCAGGAGAAATGAAAAGGAGTTCTGGTTGGGAATGGGGCTTTTGTTTCATTTTGTTCATCTTAGGAACAGCTGCTTTGGCCTAATGATAAAGGCTTGGATCAGAAGGAAGCGGCAGGGCACAGAAAAAGGCAACTTCTCAAAATCTGCTCCTTGATGTTGCCGCTCCAGAATCTGGCGAGGCTTTAGGGGAAAAGGGCACAAATCCAGATGGAATGGAGGTGGGAGACTGTTTTGGTTTCGTGGGCTGGAACCTGATCAGGACGGGCCTTGCACGCTGAATTTGACCCCCCAATCGCATGACATCGCTATGATAGCACAATAGACAGGTGAGCATCTCACCTCGAAATTGGCAGATGCCTTTTTCTTCCTCTCCCCCACTCGCTTAAATGAGCCGCTTCAAACAGCTTTAAGCACCGCTCATCAGCTGGAATTAAGCCCCGCTGCCTTTTCTGCCATCTCTTCCCAGCCACGGTGCACAGCCAGTGCAGGATTAGACCCAGATGAGCAGGGGGAAGGCATGGTTTGGGGAAGATGGCAGCACGGGCCTGCAGGCCAGAGGATTCCTGACCTCTAAGTGTTCGCCTTACTCAACAACACACCCAGTGCAGAGACATTTGCAGCCATTAAAAAAAAAAATAGTATTCCAGCATTTTGGTGGGTTTGAATTGTTTACTCGCAATGACTTTGCCACCTCTCCCAATCCTAACTTCGTATGTGCTCTTCTCAATGGTTGGTTGGTTTTTTCACCAACCCAGAACCTGCCGAGCCACAATGTGGGGTACATTCACACAAGCCACAGTGCGGTGGGCAGGGTGGGCAGAGACAGATCAGTTCTGGATGACAGTTGTGCCCTGCCTGATAACTCTCTTTCGTCCCAAATTAGATTTTAAAAAATTATTATTTGATCCTGCCGTGGGCAGGCCTCCCTGACTCAGGACTTCTGTAAGCAGCTCCAAAAAAACCCTGTTATTTGGTTGGAACAATTCACACACACACACACACCCTGACCATTTCAAATGCTATCTCCATCCACTCTACACCATTACCTGCCTACCCTAATCCAACTCAAGGTCATTTCCTGCAACATGTCAGAGGGTATGGGATTGCAGTTTGGGATTCTGGAGTTCCAAGGCAGCCTGTGTGTGAATACCCACCACAACGACCAAACCCTTGTTGCGCGTCCACGGAAGGGCAGCCAGGACTTTGCTTGTTATGAGCACACAAAAGCAAACCAGTGTCGAGCCTCCTTAGTAGCATCGTAACCATAATAAACCGCTTAATACCTTTTTTATTATTTTAAAAAAATCTGTATTCTTAGGAGACTGTTTTAACCAGCTTGGAAATTGATCCATGGTTTTGTTTTTATTTATTTTGAGGGGCCGGGGGGAGCCTGCTGCTGTGAGTTCCACAGATCCAGGCTCTTTCCAGCCGGGAGACGAAACGGGATTGTGCGATAAGTGTCACCCTAGACTCTCAAATAAAAGTATTATATTCTCAACAGATAATGGAGTCGTTTCTTGGATCTGCAGAAAAGAGTCGAGACGATAGAGGCTTGGAAGGAGAAGTCTCCGACACTGCTGTGGAACCGTCCTATAATTGAGGGCCACATTTCCTTCTGAGAAACTTTCTGGGGGCCAACGGCAGGTAGAACAAATAGTAAATTTGCTTTTGTGCAGTAGGGCTGGTTCCTACCCTCTTGCGTCTCCTTTCAGGCAGTTGAGAGACTGGTTCTGAGTTCAGGTTTCTCCCGTCGCCTGTCTCAGCCTCAGAACGACTCTGCAAGGGAGGTTTGCTTGAGTGTTTCTGACATCTTCAGCCTTTACCACAAAGCAGACTTGTGCTGGTCCCGGGGGCTAGCCGAGAGGCGAGGTCCCAGTCCAGTCCGGGGTCGATGGTGCAATAGGAAGGCAGTCCATAGAAGTCGAAGCTGGGTGCACAGTAGGGCGTCGGGTGAGGTCAGGAGCTCATGCAGGAAAGCAGGACAGGGTTCTGGCAGGAACTAGCAACCAACAATGTTGCTCCTGCAAGTTGGGACTGGGGCTGGCCAGCTTTTATCTGCCCTGGGGCACAGGGCGGGCCCAATCCTCTGGTGACTCGCCTCTCCTAGCCTGGAGGCTAGCACTCCTCCTGCGGGAACTCAGTTCCCTCCGCCTCTCTGCCCTGAGCCTCTGCAGCTCAGGAGAGGCTGGAGGGTTACTGGACCCAGAGGCAACCCCAGCTTCCTCTGACGGGGCTGAGAGTGGAGCACCTGCAGGCAGTGGGTCCTCCATCCCCTCAGGAGCCAGAGCAGACTCAGCTGACGCCTGCACCTGAGGACCCAGCACAGGTGAGGACCCTTCAGGCTCATGCCCCAGCCCCAGCTCAGCCGGTTCTGGAGGCGGGGAATCCTGTGCAGGCTGGGGTTCCTCAGGTTCTGCCTCCGAGTCCGAATCCCAGGCCATCACAAGAAATTTGTCCCTTCCAAGTGAAAGAATGAGGAAACCATAGTTGGCAAGGGGACTCCTGAAGGTCAACTAGTCCACCCCGCCACTGGAGGAAGGAAATCCAGGGCAGCCCCCGCAGATGGCTGTGCAGATTGGAGAAATCAAGGAAGGAAGAGCTCACCCACGCCTGAACTTTTTAAAAAATTAATCATTTTAAAAAATTGTTATGAAGGCAGCTCCTTTTGGGACCAGACTTTCCATAGTCCTGATACTGTTTTGAGGTCTGCGTGCTCAGAGGTGATGGTTGGAGATGTCTCAGCAAAAGATGGGCAGCTATAAACTGCAAGTCCTGCGTTAAAGCAGGGGTGTGTGCCAGGGTGGAATGGATGTCCTCACAGTGGCCCGTTTCAACTCTTAGGTTCTCCTCCCTTCTGAAAAGAGCTGCAAGAGCAGAAGCCGGAAGCCACATCGCCCACCAGGGGCAGGAGGAGTGGGGTGGGGGTGAGGAAAGAGGACAGGAGGCCACGCGTTTCTGCCCGATCCTAGAAAAACATTTAATTTTTCACCAACTCTACATGATCCGAAGGAGAGGGGGACTGAACGAGAAAGCCACGTATAAAAAAGCACAAAAGCATAAATTACAGAATTAAAAACAGTAAAAGCACACGACCGACGGCTACATATATATCTGTTTCTGAGAAGGGCACAGGAGACTCTGTTTAAAGAGAGAGATGAACATTCAATTCTGTCAATGTGCATCAAGAGCGAATTCAAGCTTGTCCAACACTGATCCTTTTCTCCTGTTGAGACATTGGGGAATCCAGTGGCAGGGAGTTCTACATTCCCCATGAACTCCCAACTCCAAGCCAAGCTGGAGGGGGGGCGGGGAGCCAACAAGGCAAGTCCTAGTCCAGGCATCCTCAACCTCGGCCCTCCAGATGTTTTGAGACAACAATTCCCAGCATCCCTGACCACTGGTCCTGCTAGCTAGGGATCATGGGAGTTGTAGGCCAAACATCTGGAGGGCTGAGGTGGAGGAAGCCTGTCCTAGCCCAACGCCTCGGGCATAATGTGACAACTGCCTTGACCAGGCCACGGGCATCGTGTCGGACCCAGGTGGTTGGGTGCTGGCCGCGCCGAGAGCCTCGCGAGCCAGGTAGCTGTCACTGGCCTGTGCGGATGTCCGCGGGTCGCAGCTGCCGCTCCCCCTCTGCCAGGAAGATCTGCATGGCTCTGTGAAGGAGGTGGGTGCCCAGGCAGCGCCTCCGCCTCATAGGCCAGCCCGCCACGATGCCGTAGTAATTCCCTTTCTTCTGATTGGTCAGCATCTTCAGCCCTGGAAGAAGACACAGGGGGAGCGTGAGCCGGTTGATTTCCCTAGATCTCCCAGTGGCTTTCGATACCACTGACCACGGTATATCCCCCCCCCCCCGGAACAGATGTCTGAATTAGGACTGGGCGGGGGGTAGCAATGTGGTGGTCCCAGTCCTATTCGGATGACCGCTTCCAGGAAGTGCAGCTTGACCCTATGGAGCTATGAGCTATCATCTCTCTTTCTTATTTATTTATTTAGTAATTAAACCGCCCTATTCCCACAGGTCTCAGGGCGGTTCACAAGATGGAAAATCACAACATAAAATACAAAATGCATAATCAAAATAAAAACAACAATAATAAATTAATTATAATAATAATAATTTTATTATTTATACCCCGCCCTCCCTGGCCAGAGTCGGGCTCAGGGTGGTTAACGCCAGTAAAATTACAGTAAAAATATAATGGGGGGGGGGGGGAAACCCAATTTAAAATACAGGTTAAAATGCAATTTAAAATGCAGCCTCATTTTAAAGTAGCCGATAAATAAAGACCGTAATGGGGAGGGAAACATAAAGGTCAGACTGAGTCCAAACCAAAGGCCAGGCGGAACAGCTCTGTCTTGCAGGCCCTGCGGAAAGATGTCAAGTCCCGCAGGGCCCTAGTCTCTTGGGACAGAGCGTTCCACCAAGTCGGGGCCAGTACTGAAAAGGCCCTGGCCATAAAGGTAAAGGGACCCCTGACCATTAGGTCCAGTCGCAGACGACTCTGGGGTTGCGGCGCTCATTTCACTTTATTGGCCGAGGGAGCCGGCGTACAGCTTCTGGGTCATGTGGCCAGCATGACCCTAGCTGAGACCAATCTAACCACCTTGTGACCAGGGCCTCCAAAGTGTTATTATAACAACAACAACAATAACAATAGCCAATGCAATTCTGGGCTGCATCAATAGGAGTATAGCATCTAGATCAAGGGAAGTAATAGTGCCACTGTATTCTGCTCTGGTCAGACCTCACCTGGAGTACTGTGTCCAGTTCTGGGCACCACAGTTCAAGAAGGACACTGAGAAACTGGAACGTGTCCAGAGGAGGGCAACCAAAATGGTCAAAGGCCTGGAAACGATACCTTATGAGGAACGGCTAAGGGAGCTGGGCATGTTTAGCCTGGAGAAGAGGAGGGGTGATATGATAGCCATGTTCAAATATATAAAAGGATGTCACATAGAGGAGGGAGAAAGGTTGTTTTCTGCTGCTCCAGAGAAGCGGACACGGAGCAATGGATCCAAACTACAAGAAAGAAGATTCCACCTAAACATTAGGAAGAACTTCCTGACAGTAAGAGCTGTTCGACAGTGGAATTTGCTGCCAAGGAGTGTGGTGGAGTCTCCTTCTTTGGAGGTCTTTAAGCAGAGGCTTGACAACCATATGTCAGGAGTGCTCTGATGGAGTTTCCTGCTTGGCAGGGGGTTGGACTCGATGGCCCTTGTGGTATATTCCAACTCTATGATTCTATGATTCTATGAATAACAACACAGTAATCCTCCCTTCCCTGACACATTTTAAAAGGGCACATCCCCAACGTGGGGATCAAACCCATGACCCTGAAATTAAGAGGCTCCTGCTCTACCGACTGAGCTATCCTGGGATGGAGCCTGCCCTTCAGCCTTAGCCCCGTCTGGCATGCGTCTTACCGATGGCATCCACCATGCAGGCTTCTCTCGTGTAGGCTTCCACCGGAATGACGTTCTGGAAGCAATGCATGGAGATGACCCCCTGCCCGCTGGCCCAGATTTCCAGGATATGCTGGACTTTGGAGCAGGCCTGGAGGAAAGCAAGGGAGCGGGTTAGTGGCAGAAAACAAGTGTTTGCTTTCAGGTCTGTTTCAAGACAGGATGTCCACCTCTGCCAAAAAGGGCCTGACTCATCCAGATGCTTCTGAAAAAACAGCTGCCAAGACAGGAAGACGGCAGCCCAACACGGTTTCATAGGTGCCAAAGGGTCTTGGACCCCTTTGCTCCTCCCAAATGCGGGTGGGGGGTAAAATGGACTGGGTCTGAGCTGCCCCAGCCTCCTCTTCCTCTTGAGAGTGCAGGTAAGGCACCCAACCGCCCACCCACCTGCCTAGGCCTGGCTCCCTTTGAGCCATAGAGGGGACTTGGGTGCCACTGCCTGGCGGGGAGAGGGTGCCTGGGCTGGGTCTGCTGTTGTCCCCCAGCTCCTGGCCTCAGCTTGGGCACCATCGCCTCCTGCGCCCAGGCCTTGGAAGCGGTTGTCAGACGTAGCAAATTGGGCAAGACTGTATTGATAGAAGAAGTGTGCCTGCACACGAAAGCTCATACCAATAACAAACTTAGTTGGTCTCTAAGGTGCTACTATGGGACGCGGGTGGCGCTGTGGGTTAAACCACAGAGCCTAGGACTTGCCGATCAGAAGGTCGGCGGTTCGAATCCCTGCGACGGGGTGAGCTCCCGTTGCTCGGTCCCTGCTCCTGCCAACCTAGCAGTTCAAAAGCACGTCAAAGTGCAAGTAGATCAATAGGTACTGCTCCGGCAGGAAGGTAAACGGCGTTTCCATGCGCTGCTCTGGTTCGCCGGAAGCGGCTTAGTCCTGCTGGCCACATGACCCGGAAGCTGTACACCGGCTCCCTCGGCCAGTAAAGCGAGATGAGCGCCGCAACCCCAGAGTCAGCCGGCCACGACTGGAACTAATGGTCAGGGGTCCCTTTACCTTTAAGGTGCTACTGGAAGGATTTTTTTTTAAATTTCAACTATGGCAGGCCAACATGGCTACCTACCCGTAACTAGAACTGTATTGATAGTTAGCAAAAACTATAAACACATAAGTGATGATATTCCAGCTGAGCTATTTAAAATTTTAAACGATGATGCTGTTAAGGTGCTACACTCAATATGTCAGCAAATTTGGAAAACTCAGCAGTGGCCAGAGCATTGGAGAAGATCAGTCAACATCCCAATCCCAAAGAAGGGCAGTGCCAAAGAATGCTCCAACTACCGCACAATTGCACTCATTTCACACGCTAGCAAGGTTATGCTTAAAATTCTACAAGGCAGGCTTAAGCAGTATGTGGACCGAGAACTCCCAGAAGTGCAAGCTGGATTTCGAAGGGGCAGAGGAACCAGAGACCAAATTGCAAACATGCGCTGGATTATGGAGAAAGCTAAAGAGTTCCAAAAAGACATCTACTTCTGCTTCATTGACTATGCAAAAGCCTTTGACTGTGTCGACCACAGCAAACTATGGCAAGTTCTTAAAGAGATGGGAGTGCCTGATCACCTCATCTGTCTCCTGAGAAATCTCTATGTGGGACAAGAAGCTACAGTTAGAACTGGATATGGAACAACTGATTGGTTCAAAATTGGGAAAGGAGTATGGCAAGGCTGTATACTGTCTCCCTGCTTATTTAACTTATATGCAGAATTCATCATGAGAAAGGCTGGGCTGGATGAATCCCAAGCTGGAATTAAGATCGCCGGAAGAAATATCAACAACCTCAGATATGCAGATGACACAACCTTGATGGCGGAAAGTGAGGAGGAATTAAAGAACCTTTTAATGAGGGTGAAAGAGGAGAGCGCAAAATATGGTCTGAAGCTCAACATCAAAAAAACAAAGATCATGGCCACTGGTCCCATCACCTCCTGGCAAATAGAAGGGGGAGAAATGGAGGCAGTGAGAGATTTTACTTTCTTGGGCTCCATGATTACTGCAGATGATGACAGCAGTCACGAAATTAAAAGACGCCTGCTCCTTGGGAGAAAAGCAAAGACAAACCTAGACAGCATATTAAAAAGCAGAGACATCACCTTGCCAACAAAGGTCCGTATAGTTAAAGCCATGGTTTTCCCAGTAGTGATGTATGGAAGTGAGAGCTGGACCATAAAGAAGGCTGATCGCCGAAGAATTGATGCTTTTGAATTATGGTGCTGGAGGAGACTCTTGAGAGTCCCATGGACTGCAAGAAGATCAAACGCATCCATTCTTAAGGAAATTAGCCCTGGATGCTCACTGGAAGGACAGATTGTGAAGCTGAGGCTCCAATACTTTGGCCACCTCATGAGAAGAGAAGACTCCCTGGAAAAGACCCTGATGTTGGGAAAGATGGAGGGCACAAGGAGAAGGGGACGACAGAGGACGAGATGGTGGGACAGTGTTCTCGAAGCTACCAGCAAGTGTTTGACCAAACTGCGGGAGGCAGTGGAAGACAGGAGGGCCTGGCGTGCTCTGGTCCAGGGGGTCACAAAGAGTCGGACACGACTAAACGACTAAACAACAACAACATAAACACATAACTTCTGGGCATAGTGATATTGTTACATTACTAGTCCTTATAAACGTTGTAAAGGTAAAGGTTTATTGGCCGAGGGAGCCGGCGTACAGCTTCTGGGTCATGTGGCCAGCATGACTAAGCCACTTCTGGCGAACCAGAGCAGCGCACGGAAACGCCGTTTACCTTCCCGCCAGAGCGGTACCTTATCTACTGGCGTTATTTATCAGCTTAAAGAAGTCTTTTAGGCTCAGGTCTTCTTCCCAGGTAAGCATAAAAGCCAAGCGCTCGCTTGGCTCCGGCCTCCCCCCTTCCAGCAGGGAGCGGGCCAATGCGTCCCCCTCCCCCAGTATTTTATTCAAGCTGGCACCCCTGCGCTCTGTCCAGAAGTTGACTGGCGGGTGCATCTTGGCCACTGCATCTTTCTGGCCTGACCCCCCACCCTGTGGCATTTGCCTCAAAGCAGGGGAGGGCCGGAGGGGAGAGCAGGGCACCACTCCAGTCTTTGCGCTGCCTGCACCTGTCTGCCTTGCTTCCTCCGGCTCTGCTGGTAGTGCGTCAAGGCTTCGTAGAGGTGGCAGTACGGCCGGGAGCGCTTCCCCTTGCCCACGTAGAAGATGGCGCTGATGAATGTCCGGAAACACTCGGCCCGGCTGATGTACTGGCTGCGGAAGGGCAGGTTCTGGGTCACTCTGTCGGGCACAGGCAGAAGGGCAGAGTTAACTGGCGGAACTCGCCGCCACAGGAGGCAGCGATGGACCAACAACCGGCTGTCTACCAGCTCCACCTGGTACGCAGGCTGAGACCCTACCTGCCCGCAGACTGTCTCGCCAGAGTGGTGCATGCTCTAGTTATCTCCCGCTCAGACTACTGCAATGCGCTCCACGTGGGGCTACCTTTGAAGGTGACCCGGAAACTGCAACTAATCCAGAATGCGGCAGCTAGACTGGTGACTGGGAGTGGCCGCCGGGACCACATAACACTGGTCCTGAGAGATCTGCATTGGCTCCCAGTACATTTCCGAGCACAATTCAAAGTGTTGGTGCTGACCTTTAAAGCCCTAAATGGCCTTGGTCCATTATACCTGAAGGAGCGTCTCCACCCCCATCGTTCAGCCCGGACACTGAGATCCAGCGCCAAGGGCCTTCTGGCGGTTCCCTCATTGCGAGAAGTGAGATTACAGGGAACCAGATGGCCTTCTTGGTGGTGAGGTTACAGGGAACCAGAGGCCTTCTTGGTGGTGGCGCCTGTCCTGTGGAACGCCCTCCCACCAGATGTCAAGGAAATAAGCAGCTATCTTATTTTTAAAAGACATCTGAAGGCAGCCCTGTTTAGGGAAGTTTTAAAAATTTAATGCTGTATTGTTTTTAACACTCGATTGGGAGCCGCCCAGAGTGGCTGAGGAAACTCAGCCAGATGGATGGGGTATAAATAATCAATTATTATTATTATATCTAACCCGGAGGGCTTTAAGAGGCGACTGGACAAATTCGTGGAGGAGCTGCCAGCCATGATGGCCAAGCTCTGCTTCCACGGTTGAAGGTGACCATGTTTCTGAGCACCAGCTCCTGGAAATGGCAGGGGGGTGACGGCCCTTGCGATTGTGCCCTGCCTGTCGCGTTCCCTTGGAGGCATCTGGTCAGCCACTGTGGGAACAGGCAGGCTCTTATGTTCTTAGGGGGATATTAGGAGGCACAATATAGTCTCTGTGAGACACATGCACTCACAAAATGCAACCCCCTAGATCGGGGATCAGGAACCCTTTCCCTCAGCTCAAGGGCTGCATTCCCATCCAGAGGCGACGTGCAGGGACAGAGGCAAAAGCAGGTGGAGACATGGATGAAAATGTTACTTCCATCCAGGTAACCTAGTGGCGTGGAGTTCCAAGGGTGCATCCCAGCCAGGCCAAAACACCTGGGATGTGGGTGGGTATGCAAAGCAGGACTGGCAAGGATGTTCTGTGTGGCCTGGGGAGAATTTGGCCCTTGGACGCCTGGGCTTGAGCTTTCCCACCCCTGGGTCACAGAATCGTAGAACTGCAGATTTGGAAGGGACCATCAGGGTCACCTAAGTCCAGCGTTTCCCAAACTTGGGTCCTCAGCTGTTTTCTGAGGATGAGACCAGGGCCCTTCAGGATTTAACCTCCTTCCGTCGGGCCTGTAAGACAGAGCTATTCCGCCTGGCCTTTAATTTGAATTCAGCCTGATCTTTTATTGCTCTTCTCTTCCCTCACCCGCTCTGAGACCCCACAGCTAATTCTGCCCTGGCCTCCTCGCTGGCCCAAACAGGACCAATTCAGCCAGCTAGCCCTGGGGATTATATAACTGATTTTTGATTTTTATTGTTATTCATGTTTTTATACCGTATTTTATGCTGCTTTTATAATTACCGTATTTTTTGCACCATAACACTCACTTTTTTCCTCCTAGAAGTAAGGGGAAATGTCTGTGCGTGTTATGGAGGAAATGCCTACGGGTGGCATGCCTACGGATTTTCCTCCTCTAAAAACTACGTGCGTGTTATGGTCGGGTGCGTGTTATAGAGCGAAAAATACGGTAAGTGTTTTAAATTTGTTGTTAGCCGCCCTGAGCCCGGTTTTTGAACCAGGAAGGGCGGGGTATAAATAAAATTTTTTTATTATTATTACTACTACAATTCCCATCATCGCTGACCACTGTTCCTGCTAGCTAGGGATGATGGGAGTTGTAGTCCGAAAACAGCTGGGGACCCAAGTTTGGGAAACCCTGATCTAGTCCAACCCCTGCAATGCTCGAACCCACAACCCTGAGATGAAGAGACTTGTGCTCTACCAGCTGACAAGCTCTTCTCCGTTTGAACTGGTGATCAGATGGGGCTGTGAGGCCGTGGAGCAGAGGCAAGGAGAGAGGGTCTCCAAGCCCTTTCCTCGCATGGCCAGAGAGGCCTGGCAACACCCTGAGGGTTCTGTTCCGTAGAGAAGACTGCACGCTGTCAAACTACACCCCCAGTCTTCGCCCAAAACTCAGCTGAGTCTGAAAAGGTAGGAATTGCCTCCTTTCCCCCCCAGGGGCAGCCGGGATGGCAGAGTCGGGGAAAAGCTTCCACACCTGGGATCCAGGAGCAGGTAGTTGAAGCTGGACTTGAGAAGACCCTCCCTCCACTTGCGGCTCTTGTCCGGCTGGTCGAACTGCCTGGCCAAAGCCATCTCGTCCTCCTGGCCATCTGGGATCTGGTAAGTGTCCAGGGCAGAAGACAATTCCGGGCTGTAGCCTGGAGGCGAGTGAAGAACAGACAACGCCACCCCCACCCAAACAGAGAAGTTTGTTAACACATGGTGGAGAGACGCACACGACACGTAACAAGGAAAGAACGATGGAATATTATCTCAATATATCTCAATATACGATCACAGCGGAGAGACTTTGTTAAATCGTGCATGAGCAGAATAGGGCTGAGCGATATATTGCTATATCGTCCTAAACTGGTTTGAAGCCCAGTTGTGATATCGATTTCATAATTTTGGAACTGGCAATATATCGCGAATCGTGTGTGTGTTATGCAAAAATCACAATGTGGGAAAAACTGTGAAGCCAGCCCGTGCCTCTACACAGCTCCATTCTTATGTCAGATGTTGTGATATACAGTCATACCTCGGCTTAAAGACGCTTCGGGTCAAATCTTTTCAGGTTGCGTCCTGCGGCGATCCGGAAGTACCAGAAAGGGTTACTTCTGGGTTTCGCCGCTCACGCATGTACAGATGCTCAAAATGGCGTCACGTGCATGCACAGAAACAGCGAATCATGACCCGCACAGACGCAGGTTGCGTTCTGCTCATGTTGCGAATGGGGCTTTGAAATGGATCCTGTTCGCAACCAAAGGTACCACTGTATCAACATTGCACGATGTTTAGCTGGTGATATATTGCGATGTTGAAAACCAGATATCGTCCAGCCCTAGATGGGTGACACCTGGCTTGAGAACAGTACATGTGAAAAGGATCTAGGAGTCTTGGTTGACCACAAACTTGACATGAGCCAACAGTGTGACGCGGCAGCTAAAAAAGCCAACGCAATTCTGGGCTGCATCAATAGGAGTATAGCATCTAGATCAAGGGAAGGAATAGTGCCACTGTATTCTGCTCTGGTCAGACCTCACCTGGAGTACTGTGTCCAGTTCTGGGCACCACAGTTCAAGAAGGACACTGACAAACTGGAACGTGTCCAGAGGAGGGCAACCAAGATGGTCAAAGGCCTGGAAACGATGCCTTATGAGGAACGGCTAAGGGAGCTGGGCATGTTTAGCCTGGAGAAGAGGAGGTTAAGGGGTGATATGATAGCCATGTTCAAATATATAAAAGGATGTCACATAGAGGAGGGAGAAAGGTTGTTTTCTGCTGCTCCAGAGAAGCGGACACGGAGCAATGGATCCAAACTACAAGAAAGAAGATTCCACCTAAACATTAGGAAGAACTTCCTGACAGTAAGAGCTGTTTGACAGTGGAATTTGCTGCCAAGGAGTGTGGTGGAGTCTCCTTCTTTGGAGGTCTTTAAGCAGAGGCTTGACAACCATATGTCAGGAATGCTCTGATGGTGTTTCCTGCTTGGCAGGGGGTTGGACTCGATGGCCCTTGTGGTCTCTTCCAACTCTATGATTCTATGATTCTAGATCAGAACAGGTGTAAGTGTGTGTGGTGGTGGGGATTCGTGTATTAATATTATTATTTTTAACAGGAGCTCTCATCCCCTTAGCCTACAAATTAGAATCAGCAAAAGAGATATGTAAACCATATGTAAACCTCCCTCCCACAACTTTAAAGGCATGTCAGTTAAAGGCAAAGAAGCACATGGGATGCCCTTTCTGGAGATGACCCTGGAGCATAGCTGTCAAGTTTCCCCTTTTCTTGCGAGGAATCCTATTCGGAATAAGGGAATTTCCCTTAAAAAAAGGGAAACATTGACAGCTATGCCCCGGAGGGGTTGAACCCGGGACCTTCTGCATGGAAAGAAGGCCTCCATCAATGGGCTGAGGCCCTCCCCTACCCCCAGGCAAAGCAGCCACTCACCTGCAGAGCCCTTCCGGGCCTTGGTCTTCGGGTCGCTCATCAGCTTCTCAAGTAGCTGCAGGTAAATTTTCCTGGTGAGTCCCGTTACAGGACCCGGGTTGACGCCGAAGTCTCGAAGCTGCCGGACTAACGCTTCGTCTGAGAGGCGGCTCAGCTCAGAGGCGGCTGGTGGAGAGCTGCTGCCCACATCTGCTGGCCCGGCCGCTTGACCGGTGTATGCCCGCCAGTCGTAGATGACGGTGTCTTCGGAGCTGGTGGTGTTGGCCACAGAGTCGTCCGTGCAAGGGATGTGGCGCTCCACGAGGGCGTGCCCTTCATCCTCGTAAAGGTATTCCACGGGCTCAGTGGCGCTCAGGTTCACGGGCCGGCCACCGGGCGACAGCTGGACATCTTGGGCAATGGGACTCATCCGTCCGGACGGGCAGGTGGACACTCTCGGTGCAGGCAGCCGGCTGAAGCTCACTCGCGAGCGATTGGCCTGCCTCTTGGTCCTACCACGCCTGGCACTTAGCCGCTCAGGTTCACCCCGAGGCAGCACAGCATCCAGTCTTTCTTGGACACCATTCCCTGGTGGCAGCTTCTCCTCCTTCAAAGGAAGCTCTTCCTCTGAATCTGTCGCACAGTCGCTGCCACATTTGGTGTCAGAACGGTCATACCCTCTGCAAACATCTCTCCCAGAACTTCCTGGTGTATCCGGGCTGATGAGAGGGCAGCCCGAAGGGAGGGACCCTGAGCAGCTGCCTGGCTCACAGCTGCTGAGACCAGCCCCTATTAATAAGGTGTCATCGAGTTCACCGTTCTTGCCTCCAGCCGCACCAGGCAGGCCGCTGTTCCTTGGGCCAGCGGATCGATCCTGCCTATCGCCGGAGGCCGGAACCTGCCCTCCAGGGTTTCTTGTCCGCCTGGGACGCTGTGGCACCTCCAGGGTCTCGTCGAAGAGAGAGGAGGAAGAGCTGGCATGGTGTGCGGCCGAGGCCATCATGCGGCTTTTGGTTCGGGGCGTAACGTGCCGGGGGCTTTGGTGGGGCTGGAGCAGCGGTGAATGGCAGACCCTGGTTGCCAGCATCATTGACCTCAGCTTGGCCTCCAAGCCGGCCGGCTCTTCTTTGATGCTTGGAGGAGTTTCATGAGGGACGGCCATTGTTTCAGCCGCATCCCAGACCATCCCGGGAGGGACAGGGCTCTCATTCCCCAGGCAAGACGTCTCTTCAGATGCCTTCTGTATGAGCACCGTTTCTGGAGTCCACAAGTGCCCCTCTACATCCTTGGTGCTCGTGGAGTGAAATCCTCTCCTTTCCTCTGTACTCAACCTCTCCTGAGCTTCAGGCGACCCACTTCCTTTTAGTTTGCCTTGCTGTTCCCAGGTACCAACTCTCCCAACGATGGGAGAGGAAATTTCTGAAAGATGCTCGTTCTCTGCTCCAGAAATCCTTGGCTTCTGCGTTTCCCTCAATGGCAGAGACTTTGTGCCTTGGTTCCCCCACTTCTGCAAAGGGCATTTTGCAAGAACCTGGGACGTTTGGGAGAAACCCGGCTGCCCGCCGTTCTTGGGCCGTTCATCCTTCCCAAAGCTGCACAGGTCCAAAGGTTGCCTCCCAGCGCATGTGTCGGAAGAAGCCCCCTTACAACCAATTCTGTCACACAAATGTCTCAGGCGGTCAGACCTAGCAGGAGAATTCCTCTCGCTAAACGCCTCAACCGGCTCTCTGGAGCTGCTTACTGGTCCTCTGGAAGACAGGCCTAAGGACAATTCTGACATTAAACTGTTGCTCCCAGTATTGTGGGAGACACACGTGGAACAGCTGAAACTGGCCTCCCTTCCCTCCTGGTTCTGAGCCTCACTACAGCGGAGTGCTTCCGTAGTGCTTGCGTAACATTCGCTGTCACATGAGGCATACTGGCCACTGCTTGAGCTTTCACTATATGATTCGGCTCGTTCAGCACCTCCACCCAGATTCCCACAGCTGCTAGGCAGGAACTCCGCATTGACCACGACCGTCTTTTCCAGGTCCAAGACGGCTGCAGCATTCTCCCGGGTGAACAGGTAGGCGTGATCGGGCGAGGTGACGTCCAGCCCTTCGTGGCCCGTGGCTCTCACCACAAGGTCTGGGTCTAGGAAGCTGCCATACTGGGAGAGGTTGAAGGTGGCGTTGGGATCCTGCATGCTGGCAATGGGATCTGCTTCACATTCGGACACAACTGCATGGGTGGGAGAGGGCCCAGGGATCTCCCGGGATCTGTTAGCGATTTCGAGGCTCGCTCTCAGCTTACGGTCGATTAAAGTGGAGGGGGGAAATGTGCCGTCTGGAGGCAAAGGGGACCCCTTAGCTGTAGTGCTCTGGACGCAAGGAGTTTGGGTTGTGCCAAGATCTGGTTTGAGGGGCTCGGGTCCTCCGATGTGAAAACCCCGTCTTGCCAAGGGACTGGGGGCTGGCTGCCCAAGCACGCCGCCCAAGCCAGATGAGGCTGCCAGCTGAGCACAGAGGTCTCCCTGATTGGACAAAGTGCTGGAAGCCAAAGAACACTCCGTTAGGAACGAAGAAGCGATCCTGTCCTCAAAGGAAGAAGTTTTATCTTGGCTGTTTGGAGGATGAGAAAGGAAGGTGGGTGGCTTCGCATGCTGAAGGCTCTCATCCGGAGGATGCCGAAAGCTTCCGCCCGAGAGGATGGGGCAAGCGTCATAAAGCCTCAAGGACCGCCCAGGGTTCAAGGTGTCTTCAGTCACGGTGGTGAGGAAGCTTTCTTCTCTTCGGTAGCCTGTATAAAAAAGAAAGAGAGGGACAAAAGAGACTAGGATTATTTAATTGGAGCCTCTGAAATTAGGGAAGTCATACGAAACAGGAGTTGCTGGCATTCTGCAGCTGTTACGGTATAGCAAACAAATGAGAATGTAAAGTTTGAAATTGGGGGATAGGATGCGAAGATAACATTGCATGGGGGGGGGGCGGGGAGCTTGATTGCTTCTCCCTACTTACTCATCCAGTGGTGCTGCCCCTCTCCAGTCTCGTCCAGGAACCCTTGCAAGATACGGAGGCACATCTCATTCCCTTCCTCCAAAGCCAGGTCGATGGCAGTGTTCCCGTCCTGGGAGAAAGAAGAAGCTAGAGGACCAAGGAGCTGGCCTCCCCCCCCCAGCTAATCTGGCTTGCTGGTTCTCTCCATCCAAGTTCCCTTCCCTGCCCCTCCTTAGTCTAATTAACATGGGCCAGGTAACCAAGAAACAATTTCGCAGCTTCAACTTGTCAACCGCCAGTGCTTCAGTTCTCCCTGGAATGGTTTCTCGTGAAGTCAGTGGGTCTACTCTATCTTTGCAATAATAATAATAATAATAATAATAATAATAATAATAATAATAATTTCATTTATACCCCGCACTCCCCGGCCAGAGCCGGGCTCAGGCCGGCTAACATCAATAAAATTTCAATTAATAATAAAAAAATAAAAATAAAAAACCATTTAAAATACAGGTTAAAATGCAATTTAAAATGGAGCCTCATTTTAAAAGTATCCCATAGATCAAGACCGTAAGGGGAGGGAAACATAAGGGTCAGACTGAGTCCAAACCAAAGGCCAGGCGGAACAGCTCTGTCTTGCAGGCCTTGCATACAAGGTGTTGTCATTTGTGGACCTTAAGGTCCTCCGCGGGGCATACCAGGAGAGGCGGTCCCGTAGGTACGTGGGTCCTAGGCTATGACTAGAAGAAGAGCACGGCTGCTGGATTGGGTCAAAGGGGGCCCAGACAGCATCCCGTTTTACCACAGAGCCCAACCAGATGCCTCAAAGGGAAACCAGCAAGCAGTGTCCGAGCTCAACAGCAACTCTCCTTTCCTGCAGTTCCAGGAACTGGTATTCAGAAGCATGGCTGCATCCGATCACGGACTGTAATTCCACGGACACTCGCTTGGGAGCAAGTCTGCTTGAACCTGATGTGATTTTACTTCCGAGCAGGGTGGATAAAAATCAATGATTTAAAAAATAAAATAAAAAAATCAGATTTTTTAAAAATTTAAATTGGATTTTTAAAATAAAATGCTTTTGGAAGAAAAATCTTTATAAAGATAGTTTTCCATTTAAGTTACATTATAGTCCAAAGGCTATTCATCAAGAAATAAGGATTTGTTTTAAGTTTTTCAGTCTAAGTTTTTTTTTTAATTGTTTAACCACATCAGTTAACAAACATGTATACATATGCTATAATGCTATTGTTTTAGTTAAATAGCTTAAATTGTTATTAAGGAAATGATTACTTTTCTCTTTCCAATAAAGTACAGCAGAAAAGTTCTCAAAATATACAGTGGTGCCTCGCAAGACGAAATTAATTCGTTCTGCGAGTTTTTTCGTCTTGCGAATTTTTCGTCTTGCGAAGCACGGTTTTAACGGTATTAACGGTTTTAAGAAAAAGGAAACAAACTCGCAAGATGTCTTCGTCTTGCGAAGCAAGCCCATAGGGAAATTTGTCTTGCGAAGCAACTCAAAAAACGAAAAACTCTTTCATCTTGCGAGTTTTTCGTCTTGCGAGGAATTCGTCTTGCGAGGTACCACTGTAAACAGTTAACTTATTAAACCTCACAATAATTTCATAATTAGCTGTCTATGTATTTCTAATAGTGTAACCCAATCAGAAATTTTTGATATAACTGTAAAAACTACAGTTGTACCTTGGAAGTCAAACGGAATCCATTCTGGAAGTCCGTTCAACTTCCAAAATGTTCGGAAAACAAAGTGCGGCTTCTGATTGGTTGCAGGAAGGTCCTGCAGCCAATCAGAAGCTGCAGAAGCCCTGTCGGATGTTCAGCTTCCAAAAATAGTTTGCAAACTGGAACACTCAATTCTGGATATGCGACATTTGGGAGCCAAAATGTTCGAGAATTAAGCTGTTCGAAAACAAAGGTATGACTGCACAGTCGTACCTCGGGTTACAGCCGCTTTAGGTTGTGTTTTTTCTGGTTGCGGACTGCCGAAACCCGGAAGTACCGGAATGGGTTATGCGCAGAAGCGGCGAATCACAACCCGTGCGTGCGGAGATGCAGGTTGCGAACGCTGCGGGTTGCGAATGTGAATCCTGCACGGATCATGTTCGTAACCCGAGCGTCCACTGTACTCTGAAAATGTATTATTCCGATAACGAAACCTTCATGTGGTTGTAAATATGAAGATTATACCAGCAAGAATGAGTCTTTCTGTAAAAATATATATGATTTAAATCAAGTCTTACTGGCTAGTGATTTAAATCGATTTGATTTAAATCAAATCTACCCTGCTTCCGAGTCAGAATGCAAAGAAACGTGCCAGGATTGCATAAGGCAGGCTTTCGTGTCAGATGTCGGTCCCAACAGAGGAGTGGTATAAGGGCAGCAGGAAGGAAAGTGTCCCTGCAACCCTCTCCCCCCCCCCCACCCCATGGCAAGAACTCTCTGGCCTACCTGGTCTTTCAGGTGGGGGTCTCCTCCTTCCATCAGCAAGAGCTTTAGACACGTATAGCACCCCCAGGCCGCTGCCACATGCAAGGGGGTGAGACCGTCCACGGACCTGAATCACAAGCAAAACCGGGGATTGTAACCCATCTTAATACTGGCAGCAGCTCTCCTCCCCAGCCCCCCCAGCCCCCCCAGAGATTCATGCAAGGTGTGCATGCTCTATCACTGAGCTACAATCTTTCCCTTTAAAGTAAAGCAGGTCTCTGGATCTGCATGGTTCCTGACGTTAAAATTTTATTATCTTGAGGTCAGACCTCGGTCCAGTAGACCTGAAGGAGCGTCTCCGCCCCCATCGTTCTGCCCGGACACGGAGGTCCAGCTCCGAGGGCCTTCTGGCAGTTCCCTCACTGCAAGAAGCAAAGTTAGAGGGAACCAGGCAGAGGGCCTTCTCGGTGGTGGCGCCCGCCCTGTGGAACGCCCTCCCACCAGATGTCAAAGAGATAAACAACTACCAGACTTTTAGGAGACATCTGAAGGCAGCCCTCTTTAGGGAAGCTTTTAATATCTGAAGGACTATTTTGTATTTTAATATTTTGTTGGAAGCCGCCCAGAGTGGCTGGGGAAACCCAGCCAGATGGGCGAGGTATAAATAACAAATTGTTATTGTTATTGTTATTATAGACCACTGGATGTGCAGGTCAAATCTGTGTCCAGGGCAGCTGTCTACCAGCTCCATCTGGTACGCAGGCTGAGACCCTCCCTGCCTGCACATTGTCTCACCAGAGTGGTGCATGCCCTGGTTATCTCCCACTTGGACTACTGCAATGCGCTCTTTGTGGGGCTACCTTTGAAGGTGACCCAGAAACTACAACTAATCCAGAATGCGGCAGCCAGACTGGGAATGGCCGCCGGGACCATATAACACCGGTCCTAAAGGATCTTCATTAGCTCCCAGTACGTTTCTAACTACCATTCAAAGTGTTGGTGTTGACTTTTAATGCCCTAAACGGCCTTGGCCCAGTATGCCTGAAGGAGCATCTCCACCCCCATTGCTCAGCCCAGACACGAGGTCCAGCTCCGAGGGTCTTCTGGCAGTTTCCACCCTGTGAGAAGTGAGGTTATAGGGAACCAGGTGATGGTGCCTGCTCTCTGGAATGCCCTCCCATCAGATGTCTAAGAAAAAAGTAACTATATCATCTTTAGAAGACATCTGAAGGCAGCCACGTATAGGGATTTATTTTTTTTGGTAATGTTTTAAGTTTTATCTTTACAGTCATACCTCAGGTTACAGATGCTTCACATTGCGCGTTTTCGGGATACGGACGCGCCGAAACCCAGAAGTACCGGAACGGGTTACATCCGGGTTTCTGTGCTCACGCATGCGCCGAAGCGCTAAATCGTGCTTTGCGCATGGCGCCGAAGCACCGAATCGCAATCCGTGTGTGCGCAGATGTGGTGCTGCGGATTGCAAACGTGCCTCCCGCACGGATCACATTCACAACCTGAGCATTCACTGTATGTTGGAAGCTGCCCAGAATTCCTGGGGCAACCCAGTCAGATGGGTGGGGTATAAATAGTAAATTTATTTATTATTATTATTATTAAATAGGATGTCCCTATTTTCATCGGAGAAACGCTACAGGGTATGCAAGTAATCTGATGCCAAATATGTTCGCTCACACTAGATGTCCGCTGGTGGGTTCAGAGCTCATTTCCCCATGGATGTAGCAGAAGGACCCTGCAGAATACCTGATATTGGGGTCTCCGCCATACCGGAGGATGAGGGCAAGGGACCGGATCCCACTCTCCTGCTCCATGCCGGCGGCAAGGTGGATGCCAGCAATCCCCTCGGGCAGAACCAAGTTGGGGTCCGCTCCTTGCTGGAGAAGGGCTTCGACCATCCTGGGAAGAAAGTAAACAGCAACTAAGAGATAAAATTCCAGAAAAAAAAGAGCAAGCAAAATGGACAAAGGGAGGGAGCGAGGGAGGAAAGCCAGCAGCAGTCGGGACATTTTAGTTTAGAGAGAAAAAGGCAAGTGAACACAAAAGAAGTCTGTGAAATTATGCATGGTGATTCAGGGTTGTAAATATGTGTAAACAGACCCTATTTCAGAAAGAAATTGTGTAAGGCATGGAGAAAGCGGACAGAGGGACATTTCTCTCCCTCTCTCGTAACACTGGAACGCAGAATGTTGGAAGAGTCAGACCCAGGCCCAGACATAAGGGGGGGGCCATATGGGCCACTTGGCCAGGGCCTCCGATTCCAAAGGGGGCCTCGGTCAGCGTATTCACAATCGATCAACAATGGCTCAAGAACGCCTAAATGGTTTAGCAATGATAGACATAAACCACGATAAGGCGAAGTTGCTTGATTTTCTCTGCGTAATTCAAGAATTCGCAGAAAAGAAAGCTAGGAAAGCATGTAAATACTTAAAACAATCCTTTTCCCTATGTATTTTTTAAAAAGCACTATTGTATATCTATATTTTCCATTTTGTCTTTATATGCTGATACGGTTCGAGCCTTGAAATAAAATTATTTGTCAGCATAACGTTTGTGGAAATTATTTATATACTTACTTATTTATAAGACTTCAGTTATCCCCAGGGTAAAAAAAAAAGGGGGGGCACATTATCTACTCTGCCTGGCTCTGGTCAGGACATGTATAAAGGAAGGACAGTGCAGAGTGAAACTGCGGAACTCCCTTCTGCAACGGCCAGCGACTCAGATGGTTTTGAAAGAAGGTTGGTCCCATTTGTGGTCAGTGGCTTTGTGCCCATGAAGTCCCAGGTACGATTCCAGGCTCTCCAGGTAAGGGTTAGAGATGCTCCGCTACCTGAAGCCCCACAGAGCTTTGCCTCTGGGGTTCCCCATGGGGGCATCGGACTGGCTCTGATGTGAGTCTGGTGCCAACCAGGGAAGTCAATGCTGAGCACAGACGGGCAAATGGTCTAAGGAACATCATGTTGCATTGCATCTTAAATATTTTTTGTTGGGGGACACCGGGAGTGGCTGGGGCAACCCAGCCGGATGGGCCACAAATAAATAAATTATTATTATTATTAAAGGTAAAGGTACCCCTGCCCGTACGGGCCAGTCGTGTCCGACTCTAGGGTTGCGTGCTCATCTCGCTTAAGAGGCCGTGAGCTGGCGCCGTCTGAAGACACTTCCGGGTCACGTGGTCAGCGTGACGAAGCTGCAGCTGGCGAGCCAGCACCAGCGCCACACACGGAAACACCGTTACCTTCCCGCTATAAAGAGGTACCTATTTATCTACTTGCACTTAAGGGTGCTTTCGAACTGCTAGGTGGGCAGGAGCAGGGACTGAGCAACGGGAGCTCACCCCGTTGCGGGGATTCAAACCGCCGACCTTATGATCAGCAAGTCCTAGGCACTGAGGTTTTACCCACAGCGCCACCCGCGTCCCATATTATTATTATTATTATTATTATTGGAGCCTGCCTTATACTATGTGCCATTCAAGGGGATTTCATGGAATCCTAGAGTTGGAAGGGACCTTAAGAAGTCATCCAGACCCTGACTCAGTGCCAGATCTGCAAGGCACGATGCAAAAGCAAGTGGATCGTTCAACTCCGCTTGGAGGGAAGCCCACCACCAGCCCGTCAAACACATCTTAGATGGCTTCAGAAATTTAGATTCCACAACTCCCCCAGCAGCTTGGTTCTCTCGCACCTAAAGATTCAAGCAGGTGCATCTTTCTGCCCTGTTGTATTAAAGGCAGGACTGGGACGCAGGTGGTGCTGTGGGTTAAACCCCAAAGCCTAGGACTTGCTGATCCGAAGGTCGGCGGTTCGAATCCCCGCGATGGGGTGAGCTCCCGTTGCTCGGTCCCTGTTCATGCCAACCTAGCAGTTCGAAAGCACGTCAGAGTGCAAGTAGATAAATAGGTACCACTCCGGCGGGAAGGTAAACGGCGTTTCCGTGCGCTGCTCTGGTTCGCCAGAAGCGGCTTGGTCATGCTGGCCACATGACCCAGAAGCTGTACGCCGGCTCCCTCGGCCAGTAAAGCGAGTTGAGTGCCGCAACCACTGGACCTAGTGGTCGGGGTCCCTTTACCTTTACTTATTAAAGGCAGGCACACCCTCAGCCGTGAAGAGCCATCTTCGTCTCTCGGCGCAAGCCCAAACATGTCCGCAAGGAAAAACTCACCGTTGCAAATGATCAGCAGGAAAAGAGTTCATTTGAAGGGGATAACAGGAATAAATGTTATAAGAATTTAAGGTCTCAAACATGTAAATTAAATGTACAAGGCAAACACGAACATAAAAATATAAACCACATGTCCGAAACAGTACAGGAAGGCAGTCCTGAAACCATTTTGACTCTCCCAAACTGACCAAATGTTTCTCTGCAAGGAGGGAGGAAATGAAAAAAACCTCCCCATTGTCTCTGTGCTCACAAATCCTGCCTTAAGGGCATTGAAGGTGTGAATAGGGTGAGCCTGGACTCAGGAATTAAGATCTGCAAGCCAAGAAGCCCCCAAAACCAGTTGAGTTGGGGAGATTCACGTTTTGTAATAATCAGTGCTTTTTTCTGGGGGTTCTCCAGGGTACTGGCACCTTTTTTCTAGAAGAAAAGCACTAGTGGTATTATTATTAATAATAGTAATAATAATAATAATAATTTCAGGGGTAGTTTTTGTTTACATAAGAAAGCTTTTGCAAAGCCAAAGAGGAACAAACGAAGAAAAGAGGGAGAAGCCGCTAGAGAAATTCACGTGTACACGTGAACAGGTGCATTCACACATGCGCTTACTCGCACTCTCCGCCCGACAGAGCCTCGCGCAGCCGGACCGAGAGCGGCAGGGCGCCTGGTTCCATTCCGCCACTAGAGGGCGGCCGAGGGGCCGAGAAGGCGCATCTGCGCATGCTCATTCCGCCCGCACATGCGCAGATTTCCCACAGGAGGCAGCGGCTACTTCCATCCCCGCGCGGCCGGCGGCGGAATCTCGGCCCGGCGGGGTCGCCTCGAGGCGCGGCCGAAGAGCCGCCTCCGCAGCCCCGGCCGAGGGCCGCGCGCCCGCCGCGGCTCCCTCACAGCCGCTGTCGCGGCAGCAACGCCGCCCCCGCCGCCATCTTGCTTTTAAAGTTTGAAGCTTCCCTCTCAAGGCCTGCCTGGGCTTCTCATTGGCTGGCCGTCGCAATGACTGACTGCCCGGCTGCCCAATAAAAAGAGGAACGAGGAGGGACTGGTAGGCGGGGAAAAAGAGAATCCTCTCTCTGGATAGGTTGGAAAGGGTCATCAGGCCTCTGCCCCTTTTCCTTTACCCGCCCGCCCTGTTGATTGGTCTGGAGTTGATGTTTACGTCACTTAATTGACGGTGTAGTTGGCTCTATTTGTCCGCTTCCCCCATTCAGCCTAAGAAAGACATAGAGGACTCGGTACTTTTGTCCGCAGACAAGATTTCCGGCATTTGCATCCATCCATCCATTGATTTATTTTGCGTTCCTTCTATTAAAATTCACTGACTGCTTTTCCCTTCATTGTATTTCCACCGTTTATTTAGTCATTCAGTTTAAGGGTGCATTATCCACCCTCTGTTTTTTTAAAAAAATTATTAGATTTTCCACAATTATAACAAAAACCACAAAGCAGAATGACACACAAAAACAGGAAAAAAAGAAAAATACATCAATGAACGAAAGAAGAAAAAAAGGAACAATAAACAGATAAACAATAACAACAAACTTAATTCTTTACAAATCCAACCTTTTAAACATCTTGGTTGACTTCCTCTAGTCCCTCCCTTCTGAGTTTCTTTGTAGTTAAAAGCACCAGCTTTCCAATATCATTTTTAAACTAAAACAATTTCCAATTATAGTCCATTTTACTCACTTTTCTTAATATTCTCAATCAATCAATCTTTATTACGGTCCAGAGACCCAACAAATCATTACAAATCAGTACACAATTCCTACAGCCTATTATATTCTAAATCCCATTTATTTAATTATAACTTAATCCTAGGCCTATTTGTTTCTTTCAATTAATTTCTATTTCTTTATATTACAATATTTATTCAAATAGTCCTTAAATTTCCTCCAGTCCTCTTGAAACTCCTCTTCTTTCTGGTCGCGGATTCTTGCAGTCAGGTCAGCTAGCTCCGAAAAGTCCATCATCTTCATCTGCCCATCTTCAACTGTTGGTAGTTCTTGTGTTCATTATCCACCCTCTCTACTTTATTTCCTGATTGCATCGACATCCTTTTCTATGCCAGATTTCTTTATATCTACTTCAACCAGGGTGATTCAGTTGCATTCCAGCTTTCTGGAAGGGAAACAAGCAAAAACCCCAATCTATTGCAGAATTGCGTCTTTCAACAAACAGTTTCTCTTTTGCAAGACGTTTGGAAGCGAGAACTACAAATCCCGGCATCCATTGCGAGGAGAGGGGCATCCATAGGGTTCTTCCCTTCCCTACACTTCCGGTCTGGTTTGCAAGAAATCTTTTCGCAGCTGGGTTTGGTCTGTGTCTGAGAACGATCACCGGTTTTACAGGTTGCTTGCGTTTGGAACAAAAGGGGTCGAGGTAGGTGGTTTTCCAGGAAAAGGGAGAGGTCATTTATGGGATGCAATATAATTGCTTTGGATGGGAGGATAAAGGATGCTAAGCGGATAATATTTGGTACAAAACCTCCTTTTTGTACATAAAAGCTCAGCTATTATGGGGATGGGGAGGAGCTGCCAAGCCCCGCAAAGATAATTCATATAAGTTTATTCTTCTGGTTGCAAAGGAAAATAAGAAAGATGGTGACCCTATGAGTTGTGCAACCAATTTCACTGTTTGTGGGTGTGTGTCAAGTTGTCATGATTTTTGCAAATCTCTCTCTTAGCTTTGCAAATTGCACCAAGCTGGCTGAATGATAAAAGCCGGGATCAGAGCATGACAGCCTAGCTCTTGCAAGGGACATTGTTTTCAACGCTGCAGCTAGGTTCTTGCAGAGTTGGTCTTTCCAGGAGCAACAGACAACCGAGTGAAGAAATGGATATGATATGTGGTAGAATCAGAGATAAAGAAAGCTAACTGTACTGTACATAAGAGTAGATCATCTCTTGCTCCATGAACTTATCTGATCTGCTTTCAAAGCCGTAAATGGTCCTGCAGCAGGGAGTTCCATAAGTCATCATCAACCTTTATTACGGTCCAGAGACCCAACAAATCGTTACAAAGCAATACACAGTTCATACAGCCTACCTCCAGGTTAAACAAGCATTTCGTTCAGAATACAGACATCATTGGTTCTTGCAACCACCGATAAAAACTTGGCCACTGCTAATGTTCTAGCGTTTGTCCGCTCTTCCAATAGGAACCTGACATACTGTGCCTCTGATTTTCCTGGGAAAGGTACCAGCAAGGGTAATAGTTCAGCCCTGGCTTGCTCGTATTTTGCACAGTGCAACAAAATATGTTTTATGGAATGGATGTCTTGAGCACACGAGCAAAGTTTGTCCTGGTAGGGAACTCCTCTCAACACTGCAGAAGGAAAGACGTTTAGTCTGGCTTTGGTGAAAAGCCTTCGATAATTTGGTACTGTCAGGTTTTTCATGTAAGATCTTAACTTAAAGACATGCCCATATTGTACTCCTACTGCGTGTGATCGAGATCGGAAGTCACTGTGTGCGTAAGTTAATTTTGCATTGCTCCAAGAAGGACTTTACCAGATCCACCACAAATCTTTTGCCTGTTGGTTTTCCATCTACTTTTTACATTTCGTACATAAACAAAAAGTTACATTGGGTTTCAAACAGACAGCCCAGCAACATCACCTTGTTTACATTCCTAAGCAAAATGTAAACTGTCTCAAATTTATATTGCGGATACATCTTACTATTTTGACTGAAGAAAATCTATGGGGATGGACAACACAAATGTTATCGCTGTAGAAAAGCTTGAACTCATTAAGGTTCTAAAAATCACGCATTGTAAGGATAATTTGGGAAAGGGTGTTTTTCATGCTATTAAACTGATAATTGACTGCTGTGTATTCTTTGCCACATACCTCTTGAATAACAGTTTCTGGGAGTCTCAGTTCGAGAGAGTTTTTGCACTCAGGCCTTGACATCCAATGCCCTTTTAAATGTATTGTGGGAAGGGAGATTTGTTTGTTTGTTTATTATTGTTATTATTTCTATTTATTTGTGATTTATTGCATCTGTATCCTGGCCATATACCCGCAGGTCTCAGGGCGGTTCACAAAATAACATTACCATGTAAAAAAACACAAAATACATAATAAAAACAAGAAAGTTGGATTGTTTGTTTCTGTTCTTAGTTTTATTATATATTTTGTGGTTTCTACATAGTAATGTTATGTTGTGACCTGCCCTGAAATATTGTTGTTGTTATTAGGCCATGGTGAAACAGGAGGCTGGATTAGACAGGGCCCCTTTGGCTTGATCCAGCAGCCAGGCTTTTCTTGTGTCCTTATGGAACCTCCAGGTCCAGTGGCAGTCTATCTGGATTCGTAGTTTCTTAGGGGTATTTGGCCACTGTGAGGACAGGAGGCCCTTTGGCCCGATGTCCTTATGCTCCTGATCAGGACTCCCCGTATTCTGGATCCGTTGCCCCCGCAATGGAGGTGTCACCCCCAAAACTGTGTTGCTTTCTCCCCTTTCCAGGAAGGCCTTCCAGAACAGCAAACCTGGACTCCCCGCTCGACCGTGGGGCCCTGATGGACACCTCGGAGCCCAGCAGTGCGACGGAGGAGGAGGAGGAGAAGGTGACGGCCGAGCAGCGCCCCAGGACCCGCTCCAACCCCGAGGGCGCCGAAGACCGCACCCTGAGCGCCCAGGCGAGCGTGGGCAGCCGCAGCGAGGGGGAAGGGGAGGCGGCCAGCACGGGGGACAGCCCCCAGAGCGCCACGGCCACCAATGGGAAAGGCTGGCCTCCCACAGTCCCGCCCACAGAATTCCAGGTCAGGACGCCACGGGTCAACTGCCCTGAAAAAGTGGTGAGTAGCTTATTCTGTCCTCGACTTTTTCACGCCAGCCCCAACTTGGTCCCCTGAGCTCATCCTAGAAGAGGCGGTTTTAGAGATTTGTTGGGCAGTTTGGGATAGCTCAGTTGGTAGAGCATGAGACTCTTGATCTCAGGGTGGTGGGTTTGAGCCCCGCGTTGGGCATTGCACGGGGTTGGGATGGATGACCCTCGGGGTCCCTTCCAACTCTACAATTCTATTGTTCTACGGATATTCTTGATATTCTCTCTCTCTCTCAGATCATCTGCCTTGACCTCTCGGAGGAAATGTCCCACTCGAAACTGGAGTCGTTCAACGGGTGAGTGGCCTTGTCCCTTCTGGTCGGCCGACATTTTTCTGTTGCGGAACTACAATGTTTTATTCTGTTTTTTATCTGTTGGGAGTTGCCCAAAGTGGCTGGGGAAACCCAGCCGGATGGGCGGGATATAAATAAGAAATTATTATTAATATTATTTTCTGTTTCACGTTGTGATGGAAGTTCTTTTTTAAAAAAGTTTTTTTTAATTTGCAATTTCAACATGTCAAAATATCAAAACATCTCATATTCCCCCCTTTCCCCCCCACCTCCCCATCAAGCCCCCCCAAGACTTCCCTTAGCTCCTCTCTCTGCTTTTTCAACACATATTATTCTCTGCATACTATAAAATTGTATAAATCCTTATATTATCTATCTGCTATGTTAGCAATCAATAAATCTCTGTGTGTACATTCAGAAGCTGCCAAGGAGTCCAATTCATTTTGTTGTCTTTTTAAAGTAATTTGTAAAGAGTTCCCATTCTTCTTTGAAGTCACAGTTGTCCTTATCTCGCAATTTATATGTGGGCATATTCTCTCTCTCTGGAAGGTCAAAAACCAATGCTCTGAACATCTCCCAGAAGATGATAGAAATGTTTGTCCGGACCAAGCACAAAATCGACAAGAGCCACGAGTTTGCGCTGGTGGTGGTCAACAACGACGTCACCTGGGTACGTTTCTGTCTCTTTTCTCTGACCACCCATTTGACTGCAGGCTGCTCAGGGGTTGCGGTTTTTATTGTCCCCCCCAACTGTGGCAGCTTCTGACCTGCCTCGTCACATTTCGCACAACAGTTGTGTTTCTTTGCCCAAGCCCTTTAGCCCTGGAATTGGAGGAGATGCTAGAATCGTAGAATTGTAGAGCTGGAGGAGACCCCTAAGGGCATAGCTGTCAACCATCCCTTATTTGGCGGGAAAGTCCCTTATCCCAGCGCCGTGTCCCGCTGCTGTCCCTTATTGATGATGTCCCTTAAATTTCCCAGGTTTCAAAGGAAGCAGCTCCTCTCCCTCCCTCCCTGCCGGCCAGGGAGGAGGGAGGCTCCAACTGTGTTGTTTGGCTGCGCTGCTCACCCAATAAGGAGTCTAAGAACGACTGGAGGGTGGAGCTTGCATGCCTTGTGCCGATCAAATCGGCCGCATTGCCTGGGGACTCGCCTTTGCTCAGCGCTTCCCAGCAGAGAGGTGACGGTGGTTTTCCTTGCTGCATCCCCTTTGCTGGGTTGCTGCGCTGTGGGAACCACCGCTTGAGGCTTCGTTTGGCTGCTGGCTGGGCTTTCTGCCTTTGGCTCGGAGGGGCTCAGAAGTTGAACATACCTGTTCTCTGAAAATCCCTTATTTTGGCTGCTGATTCCTTATTTTCAAGGCTGCTGGTCCCTTATTTTCAATTCTGTAAGTTGACAGCTATGCCTAAGGGTCATCAAGTCCAACCCACGGCAAGACAGGAATCTTTTGCCTGACGTGGGGCTACATTATAGGCAATTATATGAGATGTCTAAAGAAGACAACAAGAAAGGATTTAGTTACACCATTTCTGGATTTCAAAAGGAAGTCATCGAAGGGAAAGCGAAGTTGCTGAAGGGTGCAGGTAGTATTCTGCTAGAATGGGAAACAAAAGATGAGGAGGTGAAATCGGTCATGATCAAATGGGCACAAGATATAGGACATAACACGCAATTCGAAGATTGGGAAAAACTGTGAAAAACAGACTTAAAATTTACAGATTGTTCTCTTCTGAAAGAAAATTACATGAAAATGATGTGTAGATGGTATATAACACCAGTACAGATAGCAGAAATGTATAAAACTGGGTCAAACATATGTTGGAAATGTAAAGAAAAGGAAGGGACCTTTTACCATATGTGGTGGGAATGCAGAGAAATTAAAAAAAAAATGGTAAATGATATACAATGAGTTGAAGAAAATGTTTAAAATGACATTTGTAAAAAGAGCTATCTCATGTTTTCTGCTCCATCCCTTCGGACAGGTTGGATGCCCTTTCCCACCTTCTCAACCTCCTTTTTTTTTTTTTGCGGGGAGGTAAATAACCTTCCTGCTTGTAGCTTTTCCTTTGTCTTGCGATGCTCAAGGAGTTCAGGGATACTTTTAAAAAACAATTTTATAAGTTGTGCGCCCTTCTTTCTCAATTTGATCCTTTTACATGATTGCGTGTTTTTGGTGGTATTTTGTGCATTGTGGGTCCTGCCATTATTTTTATTGATTACAGTTTAGTAATCCTTTATTGTAATTGCAAGGTGTAAACTGCTTAATTATTACCGTATTTTTCGCTCTATAAGACGCACCAGACTATAAGATGCACCTAGTTTTTGGAGGAGGAAAACAAGAAAAAATAATATTTTGAATCTCAGAAGCCAGAACAGCAAGAGGGATCGCTGAGCAGTGAAAGCAGCAATCCCTCTTGCTGTTCTGGCTTCTGGGACAGCTGTGCAGCCTGTTTTCGCTCCATAAGACGCACACACTTTCCCCCTTACTTTTTGGGAGGGAAAAGGTGAGCCTTATAGAGCAAAAAATACGGTAACTGCTGATTTTTAATTTTACTGTTGGCTGGTGTATTCTAATGGATAGCTGAATATTGCTTTATTTGATATAAGCCGTTTAGTTTAAAGTTAAGTTTTTATTGCGACTTTTTGTAGTGGATCAGGCTTGCAAACTGCCTTGTGTACAGTAACATAGAAAGGCGGAACACAAATCAAAAGTGAAATTAAATGAAGAGGGATAATCACCTGCTTTCTGGTTCTCTTCCCCTACCCTGCCAGCTCTCTGGATTCACCTCTGATCCTAGAGAAGTTTGCAGCTGTTTGTATGACCTGGAGACAGTGGTGTGCAAGTCCTTCAGTATCCTTCTCACCGTGTGCCGGCGGAATTGCGGCAGGCTGGGCTAGATGACCTTTGGGGGGTCCCTAATTTAGGGGATTTAGGAATCTGGACTGGGAGGGGCTGGATACCAGCTGGGACAACAGCACACTGCGGAGAATTATCCACCTTAACGTTTGTCCCTCCTTGAAGATCTCGAACGTCTTTTCAGCCTCATGTAAGTTTCTCCTGGCGGGACGGGCTTTCGGTTGTTCCTGGGATGTTTCAGACCCAGGGCTTCAGACAAGAAACCCTTTCCCTGGGGATGCCAGCGGGGACTAGACCCCTGGGACCTTCTGCACTACCGCACTGTGACCCACCCCTTAAAAATAAGGCGGTAGTCCTCATGTTCCTGCGTGAACTGCTGAGTCGAGCAGGAAGGATCCTGGTTGCCTTACGAACAGGGGAAGTGGGATTTTCCCGTTGTTCCCTCTAGCTCAGGGGGCGGGCGTAGGGCTAAGGGAGCCTGCAGGAAACCTGCTATCAGGCCAGGTCCCCGGACCCAAATTTCCCTCCTTCTCCCTCATCTACGCAGACAGCAGAAGACAGAACTGCCCGTGACGGAGAATGTGCAGAGCATCCCACCGCCGTACGTGGTCAGAACCATCCTGGTTTATAGCCGGCCAGCTTGCCACCCCCCTGTCACAATCACGGAACAGATGAAGGTGCCAGTTCCCTTTTTCTTTCTTTTTTAATAAATTTTTATTTTAGTTTTTGTTGTTGTTTAGTCGTGTTAGCCTCTTCATGACCCCCTGGACCAGAGCACGCCAGGCACTCCTGTCTTCCACTACCTCCCGTAGTTTGGTCAAACTCATGTTGGTCTCTTCGAGAACACTTTCCAACCATCTCATCCTCCGTCGTCCCCTTCTCCTTGTGCCCTCCATCTTTCCCAACATCAGGGTCTTTTCCAGGGAGTCTTCTCTTCTCATGAGGTGGCCAAAGTACTGGAGCCTCAGCTTCAGGATCTGTCCCTCCAGTGAGCACTCAGGGCTGATTTCCTTCAGAATGGAGAGGTTTGATCTTCTTGCAGTCCATGGGACTCTCAAGAGTCTCCTCCAGCACCAGAATTCAAAAGCTCTCACCTGTGGCTCCTAGAAGCTGCCAGCAGGCGGCAGTGGCCACATCCCAGGATTGGCTTTGACTGGCTGACTGATCCAGGTGAGGGGAGCCGATGGGCCTCGGACCCTCAGTGAGTTAGGGGCTTCCCCTGCATGCGAAGACCCGCTCTGGTGGATGGAGTGGATGAGACCAAGTGGGCCCAGTGGTCAAGAAGGCAGTTTCTGCCCATGCCATAAATAATAATAATAATAATAATAATAATAAATTTTTATTTATACCCCGCCCTTCCCGGTTCAAAAACCGGGCTCAGGGCGGCTAACAACAAATTTAAAACACTTAATTGATGCAACGAAAAACAGCATAAAATACGGTATAAAACGTGAATAACGGTAAATTCAGAATTCAAAAATCAATTTGGGGCAAAATCCATCCAATAAACATTAGATGATCACCAGGGCTAGCTGGCTAAATTAGTCCTATTTGGTCCAGCAAGGAGACCAGGAGAGAATTAGCTGTGGGGTCTCAGAGTGGGTGATCTTCATATAAGGAGAGGGAAGAGAAGGGAAATAAAAGATCAGGCTGAATTCAAATTAAAGGCCAGGCAGAATAGCTCTGTCTTACAGGTCCTGCGGAAGGAGGTTAAATCCTGCAGGGCCCTGGTCTCATGGGACAGAGCATTCCACCAGGTCGGAGCCATCACTGAGAAGGCCTTGGCCCTGGTGGAGGATAGTCTGACTTCCTTAGGGCCTGGGACTTCTAAACTATGGTTGTTCATGGACCTTAAGGTTATCTGCAGGGCAGACCAGGAGAGGCGGAAGTGAGGGGCAGGTGGGGCTCAACCACCTGGGAAGGGAGCCCATCTAGGAGAAGGAAAACTCTGGCCCTAATCCTCCGCTGCCTCGTGTGACATCTTCGGGAGAAGGAAAGGCTCAGGAGTAGACCCTTCGCAAATCTGGAGTGGAGTCCCTAAGGCGGTTGGACGGTACCTTGTACGCCTGTTTTTGGCAACTCCCGCAGCCCAGCTGGTGCCAAACGTCTTTGGACCCCATCATCGAGGTCAAGAGGGGGTGGTGGTCCTGTCGCCCGGGCAGCCCAGGACCTCCAGACACATTGCCCAGGCTTGCTCCCCAGGGAGGTCACTTGGGTACTGTTAGTGCGGCAGTTTGGCTTCACCCTCCGAGGTGCACTCCATTGCATCTTGAGACAGATGGATGTTGCTGTTGTTTAGTCATTCAGTCGTGTCCGACTCTTCCTGACCCCCTGGACCAGAGCACGCCAGGCCCTCCTGTCTTCCACTGCCTCCCGCAGTTTGGTCAAACTCATGCTGGTAGCTTCGAGAACACTGTCCCACCATCTCGTCCTCTGCCGTCCCCTTCTCCTTGTGCCCTCCATCTTTCCCAACATCAGGGTCTTTTCCAGTGAGTTTTCTCATGAGGTGGCCAAAGTCTTGGAGCCTCAGCTTCAGAATCTGTCCTTCCAGTGAGCACTCAGGGCTGATTTCCTTAAGAAAGAGATAGATGGATGCCAACTAGTAAATTTCGCTGGCATCTATATCATGCGTCATTCGTGACCGTACTGCTTTTGTCTTTTCCGCACAGAAAATGCTCCAGTGCCCTTACTACTACTTTGACGTGCTCTACATCCACAACGGCTTCGAGGACAAAGAGGAGGAAACCAGCTGGAAGGTAAACAGAATTACTGGGCCAGGAAGTGGGATGGGACCCTGATGTCCCCTAGATGTTGCCAGTCATCCCTCAGCTGCCAGCTTGGCTAAGTTCAGGAGCAGATTGCTGGCAAGATCTCACTCCACTGCTGAGAGAGATGCGCTGATTGTGGCTGCCAGACTAGTGACTGGGAGCAGCCGCCGAGAACATATAACACTGGTCCTAAAGGATCTTCACTGGTTGCCAGTACTTTTCCGAGCCCCATTCCAAGTGTTGGTGCAGACCTTTAAAGCCCTAAATGCCCTCAGCCCTGTAGGCCTGAAGGATCGTCTCCACCTCCATCGTTCAGCCCAGACACTGAGGTCCAGCTCCAAGGGTCTTCTGGGGACTCCCTCCCAGCAAGAAAAGAAGTTACAGGGAACTGGGCAGAGGGCCTTCTCAGTGGTGGCACCCTCCCTGCACAACACCCTCCCAGCAGATGTCAAGGAGATAAAAAACTTTATGACTTTTAGAAGACATCTGAAGGCAGCCCCGCATAGGGAAGTTTGTAATGTTTGATGTTTAATAATAATAATTTATTATTTATACTCCGCCCATCTGGCTGAGTTTCCCCAGCCACTCTGGGCGGCTTCCAATCGAGTGTTAAAAACAATACAGCGTTAAATATTAAAAACTTCCCTAAACAGGGCTGCCTTCAGATGTCTTTTAAAGATAGGATAGCTTCTTATTTCCTTCACATCTGAAGGGAGGGCATTCCACAGGGTGGGCGCCACTACCAAGAAGGCCCTCTGTTTGGTTCTGATATATATATATTCTGAGATATGCTGTGAGCAGCCCAGACTGTTCATCATCATCATGGTGAAAACCTTGGAATATGCAGAGACGGCAAAATTGACAGCGCTGATGAAAGATACAAATTTCGAATCTTTCACAGATGACTAGAAACCCTTTCTAGCCTATATATAAAAAGTTTTCCCCTGTGCGAAGACCGCAGTGGGGTTTGAAGTGTCAGAAAATAGTAGAAAATATTTTTACAAAACATGTTAGAGAGGATGAAATTAGATAAGACAGAATTGTAAAACATAATAATAATAATGATGATGATGTTATTTGTACCCCTGCTCACTTGCCCCAGTCACTCTGGGCAGCTTCCAGCATATACAAAAAAATAATGAAACATTAAAAACTTCCCTATACAGGGCTGCCTTCAGGTGGCTTCTGCTGCAGAGTTACTTATCCTTGACATGCAATTTGGGTTATAAACATCGATGTTGGGTGAGCAGGAAGTTGCTAGTTCTGTTGAATTGGAATACAGTGGTACCTTGGGTTAAGTACTTAATTCGTTCCGGAGGTCCGTTCTTAACCTGAAACTGTTCTTAACCTGAAGCACCACTTTAGCTAATGGGGCCTCCTGCTGCTGCCGTGCCGCCGGAGCACGATTTCTCTTCTCATCCTGAAGCAAAGTTCTTAACCCGAGGTACTATTTCTGGGTTAGCAGAGTCTGTAACCTGAAGCGTCTGTAACCCGAGGTACTACTGTACAGTCATACCTTGCATTACAGCCGTTTCAGGTTGCGTTTTTTCGGGTTGCGGACCGCCGAAACCCGGAATTACCGGAACAAGTTACTTCCAGGTTTTGGCAGTCGTGCATGCACAGAAGTGCTAAATCGCGCTTTGCGCATGCGCAGAATCTCCAAATCGCAACCCGTGTTTGCGCAGACACGGGTTGCGAACGTACATTCCGCACAGATCACGTTTGCAACCCGAGCGTCCACTGTAACAAATGTAGCTTTCTATATGGAAAAAAGAATATTATTATGTTAAGTTATATGTATAGCTTCCCAGTGGCTGAGGCAACCTAGTCTTGTGGGCGGGGTACAAATATTAAAATTATTGCCATCACTATACCTTTGCGGTTCCTCTCTCCTCTCCAGGAGACCTTTGCTTTCTTCAGCAATCTGGACAGCAAAGGCACCAACTACAAGTACGAAGTGTCGCTGACCGGGCCGGCGGTGGAGCTGCACAACTGCATGGCCAAACTCCTTGCCCACCCGCTGCAGAGACCCTTCCAGACCCACGCCTCCTACAGGATGCTGGAGGAAGAGGAGGCGGTGGAGATTGAGGCCGTCGTGTGACTTGGGGGGGAGACGCGGACCTGAAGGACACACACACACACACACACACACACACTTTGCAAAACATCTGGCAGGCCAGCAAACATATCTCTGCAGCCCACCTTCCTCGTGCCCTTAGCATTGTTAGGGATTTAACTCTCTGGGTGTTTCTTCGGTACATGCAAGCTGTCTGTCAGTTTCTCCCCCCCCTTCAAAGCAGTTGCCAGATATTGCTGGGGGGGCTGGGGGAACGACTTAGGGGTGTAAGAAGTTGGCTACCCTCCTTTTTCGTGGTCCGTAGTGAAGTGGAAGGGAGAAACAGATGTTGAATGTCAACTGATTAAAAAGGCCTTTCCAATGGTTAAAGCGGCCCGTCTCTGGAGATTTATTTGCGTTCTGGGAATTGCGTTCTTTTTGAATAAATTTTATTAGATTTTATAAGGAGAGATACATGCCTCTTCTGGTCCGGGGTGACCAGCAGGAAGGAGAGCTTGTTGCTTCAGGAAGCGGGGACACCTTTGCCTCTTCACGACTCTGCCTCCTGGCCTCCCGCCTCTCCTGCTTCAGCTTCTACCTCTGATTCTGGACTGCTGTCTGCCACACACTCTCCCCGCTCACTAACTCCTGTTATCCCTTCCATTTCCGACACCACCTCTTCCCAGTCTTCTCCATCGTCTCTTTCTTCCCACTCATCATCAGCATCCCACCACCCTGAGCCTTCTTCCTTTCAGGGTTCCCCAGCTGGTTCCTGTATGTCCAACCAGTCCCTGACATCTGGCTTAATGGTTCCTATTAACCTGGAGACTGAACATTTACATGGAGGTTTTCCCCCAAGCAATCGGAGACTATGCCTGCATGCAGCCAAATTCTCCTCTGCCCTTTTCAGCCCTCTTCTGATTCTGGGAGATCAGCAGGGATGCGAGCTTATCGCGGCAGGAGAGGAAGACACCCGTCTGACCCATCTCTGTCTCTTGCCCCCGCTCCCCTACCTCCCTGGGCTCTGAGCCTTCTTCCCTCCAGCTAGTTCCTCCCGTCGTTCCTCTGCGTCCAACCTGCCTGTGACACGGCTCCAGATCGAGAGGCCTGGAGGGTTACATTTGTCCCTTGAAGCTGAGATTCCTCACCCCTGATCTAGTGAGACAGGGAAATATACCGATTCCAACCAACACAGCAGTCTTCAGTCCATTCATTGCCACGCATTTACTCTGAGCAGAACTGAGTTGCGTGCCACCCCTGGTGGTTGTTTTTCCAATCGCCACCCGCCAGTCTGAGGCTGAAGCAGAGGGAGAGGAACTTGCCTCCTGCTGCTCCCAGCTCAACTCCTCCCTCTCGCTGAGGACAGGAAACATGTCCAGGCTGTTTGGAGTTTTGAAACAGGAAAGGACGGCTGCCTGCCATTCCGGCTGGACCTGCAAAGAGCAGACTGTTTCTCTCTTGCCACCCTCCAGTTTAGCCAGAGGTCAGGAGAAGCTGGAATGGACAAGGTGAGTGCAGAAAGTTTTGTTTTATATCTGAAGGAGCGTCTCCACCCCCATCGTTCTTCCTGGACACTGAGGTCCAGTGCCGACGGCCTTCTGGCAGTTCCCTCCCTGCGAAAAGCCAAGTTACAGGGAACCAGGCAGAGGGCCTTCTCGGTGGTGGCACCCGCCCTGTGGAACACCCTCTCATCAGATGTCAAAGAGAAGAACAACTACCAGACTTTTAGAAGACATCTGAAGGCAGCCCTGTTTAGGGAAGCTTTTAATGTTTGATGTATTACGGTATTTTAATATTTTGTTGGAGGCCGCCCAGAGTGGCTGGGGAAGCCCAGCCAGATGGGCAGGGTATAAATAAATGATGATGATGATGATGATGACAGTGGTACCTCGGGTTACATACGCTTCAGGTTACAGACTCCGCTAACCCAGAAATAATACCTCGGGTTAAGAACTTTGCTTCAGGATGAGAACAGAAATTGTGCTCCGGAGGCAGCGGGAGGCCGCATTAGCTAAGGTGGTGCTTCAGGTTAAGAACAGTTTCAGGTTAAGAATGAACCTCCGGAACGAATTAAGTTCTTAACCCGAGGTACCACTGTATTATTAATTGTTTTTTTGGGGGGGGGGTTGGGGGTCCTGAGTCTTCTCAGCCCCTTCCTCCTGCCACTACCACTCTCCGGAACTTCCTCCGTCGCTTCCCTTCCTGTCCAAGCAAGGAATAGTGCAGGAAGAATCCCAACTACTTGGGAGTACACCCGCCGAAACAAACAGGGGCTTTAGGGTTTTTTTTTTGCCATGTCCGCTCATTGCAACGGTCTGTCTCAGACCCTCCATTGGTCCTTATTTTCCAGGGATAATCCTGCATTTACAGAAGCCGTCCTGGTTTCTGAGTTGGTCCCAGAATGTCCTGCTTTTCCTTAGGACGTCCCTATTTTCATCAGAGAAATATTGGAGGGGATGGAGTTATGCGATTGCCGAGCCAAGGAGATAAGTCATAGAATCATAGAATCCTAGAGTTGGAAGAGACCACAAGGGCCATCGAGTCCAACCCCCTGCCAAGCAGGAAACACCATCAGAGCACTCCTGACATATGGTTGTCAAGCCTCTGCTTAAAGACCTCCAAAGAAGGAGACTCCACCACACTCCTTGGCAGCAAATTCCACTGTCAAACAGCTCTTACTGTCAGGAAGTTCTTCCTAATGTTTAGGTGGAATCTTCTTTCTTGTAGTTTGGATCCATTGCTCCGTGTCCGCTTCTCTGGAGCAGCAGAAAACAACCTTTCTCCCTCCTCTATGTGACATCCTTTTATATATTTGAACATGGCTATCATATCACCCCTTAACCTTCTCTTCTCCAGGCTAAACATGCCCAGCTCCCTTAGCCGTTCCTCATAAGGCATCGTTTCCAGGCCTTTGACCATTTTGGTTGCCCTCCTCTGGACACGTTCCAGTTGGTCAGTGTCCTCCTTGAACTGTGGTGCCCAGAACTGGACACAGTACTCCAGGTGAGGTCTGACCAGAGCAGAATACAGTGGCACTATTACTTCCCTTGATCTAGATGCTATACTCCTATTGATGCAGCCCAGCATTGCATTGGCTTTTTTAGCTGCCGCGTCACACTGTTGGCTCATGTCAAGTTTGTGGTCAACCAAGACTCCTAGATCCTTTTCACATGTACTGCTCTCAAGCCAGGTGTCACCCATCTTGTATTTGTGCCTCTCATATTTTTTGCCCAAGTGCAATACTTTACATTTCTCCCTGTTAAAATTCATCTTGTTTGTTTTGGTCCAGTTCTCTAATCTGTCAAGGTCGTTTTGAAGTGTCATCCTGTCCTCTGGGGTGTTAGCCACCCCTCCCAGTTTGGTGTCATCTGCAAATTTGATCAGGATGCCCTTGAGTCCATCATCCAAGTCGTTGATACAGATGTTGAATAAGACCGGGCCCAAGACAGAACCCTGTGGCACCCCACTAGTCACTCTTCTCCAGGATGAAGAGGAACCATTGATGAGCACCCTTTGGGTTCGGTCAGTCAGCCAGTTACAAATCCACTGAGTGGTAGCATAGTCAAGACCGCATTTTACCAGCTTCTTTACAAGAATATCATGGGGCACCTTGTCAAATGCCTTGCTGAAATCAAGGTAGGCTACATCCACTGCGTTCCCTTCATCTACCAGGCTTGTAATTCTGTCAAAAAACGAGATCAGGTTAGTCTGACATGACTTAGTTTTCAGAAATCCATGCTGACTATTGGTGATCACAGCATTCCTTTCTAGGTGCTCACAGACTGTTTGTTTAATGATCTGCTCCAGAATCTTCCCTGGTATTGATGTCAGACTGACTGGGCGGTAATTATTTGGGTCCTCTCTTTTCCCCTTTTTGAAAATAGGGACAACATTTGCCCTCCTCCAGTCTGCCGGGACTTCGCCTGTTCTCCAGGAATTCTCAAAGATGACTGCCAGTGGTTCTGAGATCACATCTGCTAGTTCTTTTAATACTCTTGGATGCAGTTCATCTGGCCCTGAAGACTTGAATACATCTAAACTAGCCAAGTATTCTTGTACTATCTCCTTAGTTATTCTGGGCTGTGTTTCCTTTGCTGAATCATTTGCTCCAAATTCTTCAGGTCGGGCATTGTTTTCTTTATCGGAGAAGACTGAGGCAAAGAAGGCATTGAGGAGTTCAGCCCTTTCTGTGTCCCCTGTTTGCATTTCACCATCTTCTCCTCTGAGTGACCCCACTGTTTCTTTGTTCTTCCTTTTGCTACAGAATATACCCATAAAAGCCTTTTTGTTGCTTTTAACCTCTCTAGCAAGCCTGAGTTCATTCTGTGCTTTAGCTTTTCTGACTTTGTGTCTACACGTGCTGGCTATTTGTTTGAATTCCTCTTTGGTGGTTTCCCCCCTTTTCCATTTTTTGTACACATCCTTTTTTAATCTTAACTCAGTTAAAAGTTCTTTAGATAGCCACCCTGGCTTCTTTAGGCACCTTCCATGTTTCCGTCTGATGTAGTCACTAGACAACCTTTAGAAGACATCTGATGGCAGCCCTGAATAGGGAAGTTTTTCAACGTTTCATATTTTGTTTTTTATACACACACACACACACACACACACACACACACACACACACACACATATACACACATACATGGAGCTGCCCAGAGCGGCTGGGGAAACCCAGAGGGGCAGGGTTTAAATAAGAAATTTATTATTATTATTATTATTATTATTGAATAGGATGTCCCTATTTTCATTGGAGAAATGTAGGAGCATCTGTCCTTGCCGGACCCCACCTGCTCAGGCAACTGACGACAATCCATTCCCTTTTCTTTCTTTTGAATGCACTTAAATAAGAAGCGTTTCAAGGCAGGAAGCCCTGGCCAGCAGGATGCAAGGCTCCCTTTCCTGTTTTCCACAGAAACAATGGACTTACTTGTCCCTACTAAATCTCTCTCGTGCATGAAAGCTCCTTAGCTCACCACAAAAGATCTCTGATACCGACTAAGGTCTGCAATTGACCTGACGCCGGCTTGCGAAGGGTCAGTCCGTTGTGCTGCTCTTCCCGTTCCAGACCACAAACTCACTGCTGCCCCATAAAAAGCATTATTCAGAATAGCGGTTTGCACTACACACCGAGGGAGGTAACTGCATGACAAAATGTGACACCGTAACCATGAATTGCACACGGGTTTAAAATCCAGTTAAAACCATGTGGCTTCATTCATTTGACAAAGCGGACAGACTTGATCCAGGGAAACCAGCTTTCGATACGATACAATACGATAATCGTTATTGTCATTGTCCCATCCAGAACAATGACATTGAAAAATTCTACATCAGACATTCAAAAACCAACAAGCCTGCTATTCCAGCTATCCCAACCTGGTTAGCCCCCTAAAAACTCTTGATACCCCATAATTAAATACAATATACTCCCATAGAGACTACCTTAAAAAAAAGTAAAGGGACCCCTGACCGTTAGGTCCAGTAGTGGCCGACTGGGGGGTTGCGGCGCTCATCTCGCTTTACTGGCCAAGGGAGCCGGCGTACAGCTTCCGGGTCATGTGGCCAGCATGACTAAGCCGCTTCTGGCGAACCAGAGCAGCACATGGAAACGCCGTTTACCTTCCCGCTGGATCGGTACCTAGTTATCTACTTGCACTTTGACGTGCTTTTGAACCTGCTGGCTGGACAAACATTCCTCTCCAGGTATAAACATGTTCACTCTAGGAATGTTGTACTTGACTGCTCTTGTGTTTCACACCCCACATCTTTGATCGTCCTTGAATCTTCCTTCCAAATTTGCTATCCTCTCCTGCCACACCGGGGTGGCGCACTGCAGCCTTTGAGAACCACTCTAACCAGTGCACCACGCTGCCTTGTCAGGTCTCTTCTTAAGCTCTTGTAATAATAGACTTACAAGGGCAGGATCTCCCCCATTATATGCACGGGCCTTTCTGGATAAGCGTGGGCTGCACCTGTTGAATTGCAGCCCGTCACTGCCCCCATCCTGCAACAGCGCTGACAATATCCTTTCTGATTTTGCTCACGTCCCTGCCTTCTGGGAGCCAGGGGGACGAGGACCCTGCAGGCGAGAGGTTTGGGGGTGATGCGCCCGACGAAGGAGCAATCCTCCGCTACGAAGAGCATATCACAGGGCTGTTGGTCACCATTGCCCATCTCCACGGCCGAATTGAGAGCCTGCAGCGGAGCAAGGCCAGGTAAGTTCTCCGGAAAAACAATCTCTCAAAGGACCTGTTGATGGCATTTTACCATTGTACTGCTGAGAGTGTATTAACTTATGGTCTGTGTGTGTGGTTTGGGAGCTGCACGGTCAGGGGAAAAACAATGCTGTCCAGGGTTGTAAACACTGCGGAGAGAATAATTGGGTGCACTCTTCTCACCTTGGATCAAATCTACGCTTCCAGGTGCCATAAGAAAGCAGCAGAGATAGCGCAGGACAGTGTGCACCCCGGAAATGATCTCTTTCAGCTTCTGCCTTCTGGAAGAAGGTACAGGGTTATAGAGACTAGGACTAGCTGCCTGAGAAACAGTTTCTATCCAAATGTGATTTTGGTTTTAAACGCAGTGTAAGGAGTCTCTATGGGAGTATATTGTATTTAAAAATGAGGTATCAGAGTTTTTAGGGGGCTAAGCAGGTTGGCATAGCTGGGATAGCAGGCTTGTTGGGTTTTGAATGTTTTATGTAGATTTTTCAATTTCCTTGTTCTGTATGGGACAATGACAATAAAGATTATCGTATTATCGTAAATCGGGGTACAGGGGGGCAATAATTCTCTCTGGCACAAAAGCCTCCTGCCTTAAAAGGATTCTGCACTCCAGGCACTCCAGAGGCAGCAATGCTTCTGAATATCAGTTGTTGGGAATCTGTGGAACTCCTTGCCCCATGAGGCAGTGATGGCCACTAACCTAGAATCACAGAACTGTAAAGTTGGAAGGGACCCCACGCATCATCTAGTCCATGAAATGATGACATTAGATCATTTCTAGAATAGGAGGGGGGTTGTAAGAGCACGAACAGAGGGGTTTTATTTATTTTTTTGGTTGGATCTGGGTTGAAACGTCTTTCTTTGCAGGGAGGACGACGACCTGTGTTCTGACCTGTGCTCTGAATACACGGCAAGTCTCCCGCGATGCTCTCTGCCGTTCCCAAATCCAGCAGCGGCCCTGCCTCCTCCGGCAGCCCATCCTGAAAGAGGTAAGGCTTTGCTGAGTCTGTGGAGGCTGGTGGTCTTTCCTCCAAAGACCAAAGCAGGTTCCTTGTCCTCCTCGTTCTTGAATGAAAAGCTGAACTCACCCTGGGGTTTCAGGCAGGGAGCCTTTCCCCAGCCTAGAGATGGTAGGAGATTGCAGTCAAACGTAATTGTGCTCGAGCGCTAGTTAGTGCATGAAGCGGTTAAGACCAGAGAGGTCTGTTGCTAGACGCAGCTTGGTCACACCCCCTTACTTCCAGGAGGGAGGAAGTGAAGCTTCAACTTTTTCCTTTCCTCTTCTCGCCGTTCAATTCACCAGGATGGATGCGTCTGAACTGGATGTGGGTCCGAAAAGGAGACGGTGTTGGTGCCAGGGGTATCTCCCTTGGCAGGGCTGGCATTCTAGGGCTAAGGAGCCACCACTGAGAATGCCCTGACCTTTTCTCCTTACATAATATACTCTGGCAAGCTGCAGACTCTTCCTGGACCAGATGCATCCTGGTCCCCCATTTTGGGGTCATGCTCCCATGGCTACCATCTTTCTATGCATTTGGAGGGTCTTCTTGGCCGGTTGCTGCTTTCCATTTTAAAGGCGCAATAACTTTAAAAAAAAAAAATTAATGATGAGAGCTTTATGGAAGAATGGATGCCACAGGAGCGGCAAGGATCCTAATTGCTAAAAACTGGAAAAAAGAAACTGTGCCAACAAATAAGGAATGGCAAGACAAACCGTTAGAGTATATTGAACTGGCTAGATTAACAGAGGCAATCAGAGATCACACTAGACAAGAATTTCAAAAAGCATGGGGAAAATGCAGAGAATACTTCACAAAACAGTGCCCTGAAATACTTACCTGGACTTGTGGATGTTTAAGTTATAGTTAGAAAAATATTAATCATTATTCATAAAGTAAACAGTTTATAAGAAGTAAATAAGGAGGCCAAGATACGGGATAAAGGAAGTCTTTTATTTGGTTGTTTGTATTGTTGTATGTTATGCTCATTGTATGTTATGTTCACGTTTAATGAGGGTGGATTTGTGTATGGGGGGGTTATGTTATGTTGTAAATAAAATTCCAATAAAAATTAAAATTAAAAAAAGAGGAAGAATGGATGCCTTTTTTCGGGCTACTTAAAGAAATATTACAGCATGACAAATTCGTGAGCAGGATTTGAGCTTTGAGCAGCAGAAGCGATTAGATATAATATTGTGGTCATGATTTGATAGATGGAAGAAAGAAGGGGAAGAAACAACAGCTCAGTGGAAAACGGGGTGGGAATTCGATAAAAATAAGAAAATACAAAATTGCGTTCTGGCTGCATATGTTAAGAATGTTTAAACTTAGTAAAACATAATTGGAAAAAGAATACTTTTTATTATTTTTAAACACCCATTCCCTCCTCCCATATCTTTTCCAGGCGACCTCTTCCTCGATGTCCACAAAGCCGTCACGTCCCTGGAGAACACCGTCTTTGCCCACCGGAGCCGCCTCCCCTGCGCCAAGGCCGAGCTGGAAGGATGCCTGGAGCCTGCAGAGGTTGGCAAAGCCACATTCCTCCTCCTCCTGGGGCAGGGGCCGTTTGCCAGCCTGAGGGGTCCACATTCTCTTTCAGGGGAGGAGTGGGAGGGCATCGCCAAAGGCCAGCACCCGTTTGGTGTCCCTGAGGGGGTTGAAAGGTTATTGGAAGTTCTTTCTAAGTACCATAATAATTATGGTTATTTGTCGGCAGTTTGCAGAAATCAATTATCTCCAAGTGTGGCGGCCTTGAGTTTACAGTTTGGGCTCCATGGCTACAGTTTGGGAGTCTCCAGTTTGGGAGACTCTCTGCAGCCGCCACCTGGGCTTGCTTGTCAACAGTTCTGATACTCTCAGTTCAGATATAAACAAATCAAAGCAGCTACCAAATGGTTTTCCAAACCAGCTGTTTTTTAAGTAGTAGCCTTTCCGGGTTGTTGTTGTTGTTTAGTTGTTTAGTCATGTCCGCCTCTTCGTGACCCCCTGGACCAGAGCACGCCAGGCACTTCTGTCTTCCACTGCCTCCCACAGTTTGGTCAAATTCATGTTCGTAGCTTTGAGAACACTGTTTCACCATCTCGTCCTCTGTCGTCCCCTTCTCCTTGTGCCCTCCATCTTTCCCAACATCAGGGTCTTTTCCAAGGAGTCTTCTCTTCTCATGAGGTGGCCAAAGTCTTGGAGCCTCAGCTTCAGGATCTGTCCTTCCAGTGAGCACTCAGGGCTGATTTCCTTCAGAATGGAGAGGTCTGATCTTCTTGCAGTCCATGGGACTCTCAAGAGTCTCCTCCAGCACCAGAATTCAAAAGCATCCATTCTTCGGCGATCAACCTTCTTTATGGTCCAGCTCTCACTTCCATACATCACTACTGGGAAAACCAGAGCTTTAACTCTACGGACCTTTTTTGGTACGGTGATGTCTCTGCTTTTTAAGATGCTGTCTAGGTTTGTCATTGCTTTTCTCCCAAGAAGCAGGCGTCTTTTAATTTCGTGACTGCTGTCACCATCTGCAGTGATCATGGAGCCCAAGAAAGTAAAATCTCTCACTTTACCAAATATAACTGGGAATCCAAATTTCAGGAAATGGAACATTAAAGGCTTACCTCCCCCTGGGGCTGTGTAATTAATCCATATGTTGATTCAACCAGCTGGTCAGACTTAGCAAAGTTACCTTCACTTCTCAGTGGCTGCTTGCAGACTTTAAACTACGTCGCTCCACTCCACCATAAATCTCAGGCAAATATCCAAGGTTCTTTGGCGTCTCTAGGCAGAAGAATAGCTTTTGCTGGGTTTCAGGGGCAGCGGCCAAAGGCAGGGGACTATCTCGGGTGTCGAGAGTTGCCATCCAGCCATTTTGGGTGGCTTCAGCATGATTTCAAAGAACTTTAGAAGAGCCTCATAGGAAGGGAGGATGCTTAAAATGCCGTCTGGCAACTCCCTGAGTCCTTATCTGGCTGGGATATAAGCTTGTTTTCTGGGAGTGTATCTTCCTCCCTTATTATTTTTTAAAACTCCTACTCACTCTGCTAAGGCTCACAGGAGACTTGCTTCAGGCACCATCTTCTAACCCGCGAGAGTCGAAGTCAACATTCTTCTTAAATTGTGGTGCCCAGAACTGGACACCGTCTTCCAGGTGTGGTCTGCCCAAGGCAGAACAGAATGGGACTATGACTTCCCTTGATCTGGACACTAGACTTCTGTTGATGCAACCCAGAATAGCGTTAGCCATTTTTGCTGCTTCATCACACTGTGGGCTCATGTTAAGCTTGCGGTCCACCAAACAGGGGCAGAAGAAGTGCGGTGGGTGCAGGTCGCCCCGGGTGTGACCACTGAGGGGGGTGACAAAATGTCGGGGGGCACTCACTGTGGGGCCTGCAGCTTGCCCAAGCCACGCATCTCTCCTGGGATAGACTTGGCAGCTTGGGTGCGCGCAGGCTCCACGTTGCCCAAACGGTCTGTCCGCTGCCCCCCTCCCCAACTGTAGGGCAGCTGAGTGGGAGGATGGAGGCAGGCTCTGGAGGCCCCCTGGTGCACTCTGCCCTTGCTGCGCCCCTATGGGCGGCTTGCCCCGCCCCTGGGCAGATCATCCCAGGCGCCTGAGCAGTTTTCTCCACCGCTGCCACCAAGACCCCTAGATCGTTTTCACATGTACTGCTAGTAAGCCAGCTCCAATTTGTGAAGCTGGTTTTTCCTGCCTAAGGACCCTCACGGCCTAGGACCCTCGTACCTACAGGACTGCCTCTCCTGGTCTGCCCCACAGAGGACCTTAAGGTCCATAAATACCAACACCCTAGTGGTCCCGGGCCCTAAGGAAGTCAGATTAGCCTCAACTAGGGCCAGGTCCTTTTCAACACTGGCCCCGGCCTGGTGGAACGCTCTGTCTCATGAGACCAGGGCCCTGCAGGATCTGATTTCTTTCCGCAGGGCCTGTGAGACAGAGTTGTTCCGCCTGGCCTTTGACTTGGAATCAACTTGATCCCCTTCCCCTCTTCCTTTTTCCTTTCTTCTTCTGTGATGGAACTCCTACTTGGGGACTTTCCTGGCTTTGTTCTGGCCCATGTAGGACCATTTGGGATAGTTGGCCTTGGTGAAGATTTGACATTTTCATCCCCCAAAAGTTTTTGATTTGAGTTTCTACTGAACTGAAGCTGCATTTTAATGTTGTATTTTAATCTTGTTTTTAAGTTGTATTTTAATCAATTGTTTTTATACCTGGTGTTAGCCGCCCTGAGCCCAGTCTTGGCTTCTTCTTCTTCTTCTTCTTCTTCTTCTTGGTCTGGAAACCAGGCCTGATGAGGAAAGGTTGAGGGAATTGGGGATGTTTAGCCTGGAAAAGAGGAGACTCAGAGGAGACATGTGAGCCATCTTCAAATATCTCAAGGGCTGCCAAATTTAGGAGGGAACAAGCTAGTTTTCTCCTGCTCTGGAGGGTAGGACTCGAACCCATGTCCTCCAGTGACAAAGAAAGGAGATTCCAACCAAACACATGGAAGAATTTTCTGACAGTAAGAGCTTTTCTACCATAGAAAGGAGGTGGTGGGTTCTCGTTCCTTAGAGGTTTTTAAACAGAGGTTGGATGGTCTTCTGTCCGGGATGCTTTAGCTGAGAGTCCATCATTGCAGGGGGTTGGTCTGGATGACCCTCGGGGGTCCCTTCTCGCTCTACAGTTCTATGCTGTATTCTACGTTTCCGAGCACAATTCAAAGTGTTGGTGTTGACCTTTAAAGCCCTAAATGGCCTTGGTCCAGTATATCTGAAGGAGCATCTCCACCCCCATCGTTCTGCCCGGATGCTGAGGTCCAGCTCCGAGGGCCTTCTGGCGGTTCCCTCACTGTGAGAAGCAAAGCTACAGAGAACCAGGCAGAGGGCCTTCTCGGTGGTGGCTCCCGCCCTGTGGAACGCCCTCCCATTAGATGTCAAAGAGATAAACAACTACCTGACACGTAGAAGAAGTTTTAAATGTGTGACATTTTAATGTATTTTTAATCTTTGTTGGAAGCTGCCCAGAGTGCCTGGGGAAACCCAGCCAGATGGGCGGGGTACAAATAATAAATTATTATTATTATTATTATTATTATTATGCATTCTAATTTCCCAGGGCCTGGAAGAAAGCCTGAGGAGATTCCAAGGAAGCGAGAAAGATCCCTGGCCCCAGCCGGACCCAGAAGCCCAGATGTCTGGAGCAGGTTTCCTGGCAGATGGAATGAGCATCTACGAGAGAGAAATCGCCTTGTACGAAGAGAGGAATGCCGTGCTCCGTGAAGAGCTGGAAGGCAGGGACGGCGAACTCGACAGATCAAAAGCTGCCCTCTGTGCTTACCAGGAAGAGAGGGATAAACTACAGAGGAAGGTGCGGTCCAGCTTTGAGTTCGTTCCTTCGCATTCCCACATCCATTTGAGAATTCTGTTGTATTTTTATATAACAAGTTAATTTCGACTTCACCACCTATTTCCCTTGACGTTTTGACTTCCTACCCTTGAAATTAATCTGTTAAAATCTGTGGAGCTCCCTCCCATTCAGATGTCCAGGAGATAAAGAACTACATAACGTTTAGAAGACATCTGAAGGCAGCCCCGTATAGGGAAGTTATTAATGTTTGATGTTTTATTATGTTTTCATATGTGCTGGAAGCTGCCCAGAGTAACTGGGGAAAGCCAGCCAGATAGATGGGGTATTAATAATAATAATAACCCCCGTGATGTTTTTATTCCCACCCTTTTCCTACTCCATTATATAGCATGCTTTTACCCGTTACAGATTTCCTCTATTACAATTATTTTTATCCTTTCCTATCCGCTGCCCCCCCTTCAATAAAGAGCTCATCACATTGACCTCTTACTCTCACACAGTCCATCAATTTTAAGCGCCATTCTTCCTGCGCTGAGATTCCTCCTTCTTTTAATTTCTGTGCATATAGGATTCTGGCTGCTGTTGCTGCATAGGCAAATAATTTAATCATCATTTTTGGTACTCCTCCTCCTTCTGGTTGCAGACTCTTCCGGTCGTGTCGGCTAGCTCCGAAAAATCCATCATCTTCATCTGCCATTCCTCCACTGTTGGTACTTCTTGTGATTTCCAATTTTTGGCCAGCAGTATTCTAGCAGCAGTTGTGGCATACATAAATAGTCTTATATCTTTCTTGGGCAATTCCAAACCTATTACTCCAAGAAGAAAGGCCTCTGGTTTCTTAATAAATGTATATTTCAACATTTTTCCCCAATTCATTATAAATCTTTTCCCAGAAGTCTTTCACCTTGGGACAAGTCCACCACATACGGTAAAAGGTTCCTTCTTTTTCTTTAAATTTCCAACATAGATTATCGCTCTTATGATAAATCTTTGCTCATTTTACAGGGGTTAAGTACCATCTGTACGTCATTTTCATAACATTTTCAACATTTTCTTCATCTCATTATGTATCCTTTCCCAAAACCCCTTGTATTCCGTTCTGTTTTTTTAAAGTTCTCGCAAAAACCGTACCATCAAGTTACCTCCCTGTCTCTTTAGCCTCTCCAAATGCCTCGCGATGCCGCAGAGCAATGCGAGGTGTTGGGGCGACTCAGGTAGCGCAGCGATGCGCATGGTGAGTGTTTATCTTGTGTTTCCCTCCAGGTCAAAGATCTCCAAGGGGCCCTCTCTGAGATGGAAGCACTTCCCTACGGAGCCACCAGCCCGGTCAGGGAGAAAGAGTCCTTGGGATTGCAGGTGAGTGTTTTGGCATCCAGGAATGGCATATACAGTGGATGTTCAGGTTGTGAATGTGATCCGTGCGGGAAGCACGTTTGCAACCTGCAACACCACATCTGCGCATGAGCAGGTCATGATTTGGTGCTTCTGCGCATGCGCAAAGCACGATTTAGCACTTCTGCACATGCGCAAGCGCCAAAACCTGGAAATAACTCGTTCCAGCACTTCTGGCTTTGGCGCGGTGCACAACCTGAAATCGTGCAACCCGAAGCGTCTGTAACCCGAGGTATGACTGTATTGATGATCACCAATTCGGGCAGCTTAAAAGAGAACCTTCCTCACTAGACTCTGCATCATTGCTGGGACTCGGGTGGCGCTGTGGTCAAAACCTCTGAGCCTCTTGGGCTTGCCGATTGGAAGGTCGGCGGTTCAAATCCCCATGACGGAGTGAGCTCCCATTGCTCTGTCCCAGCTCCTGCCAACCTAACAGTTCGAAAGCATGCCAGTTCAAGTAGATAAATAGGTATCTTAGCGGCGGGAAGGTAAACAGTGTTTCTGTGTGCTCTGCTTTCCATCACGGTGTCCCATTGCACCAGAAGCAGCTTAGTTCTGCTGGCCACATGACCCGGAAAATTGTCTGCGGACAAACGTCAGCTCCCTCGGCCTGAAGCAAGATGAGCGCCACAACCCCAGAGTCGCCTTTGACTGGACTTAACCGTCCAGAGGTCCTTTGCCTTTGCCTTACGCCACTGCTCTCTCATGAAACTAGAACTTGCAGACAACTAAAAATATTCAGGACGGGCAGAAGAAAGGACTGGGAACTATAGTTTGCTCAGAGTGCGTTGTCAGGAGAAGCCAGTTCCCTTCAGAGAAATGCAGTTTCACGAGTGGTTTAACTATCAGTCCCTCTTTCTCAGGGGAAACCTGTAAATTGTAGCTCTCTTGGCTTAATAGGGTCTCCTAAGAACGTTCAGCAGCCTGAACAAACTACAGTTTCCAGGGTTCTCTTGGGGAAGCCCTCGCTGGTTAAAGCAGTGCAATGATACTTTACAGATCAAGGGCAAACAGATTCTAAGGAAATTCAGAAAAAAGATGTAAATTTGTTTATGTACGCCACAACGGCTGCGAGAATACTCCTGGCCCAGAAATGGAAGCAGCAGGAACTTCCTACATTGGAAGATTGGCAGATAAAGATGGTAGAATATGTGGAGATGGCAAAGCTGACAGGGAAGATCCGGAATCGGCGAGACGAACTGTTTCAGAAGGACTGGAGCAAATTTATATTTTATATGAAAGAAAACTGTAAACATTTGAAAACGTTTGTAGGTTTGAATTGAAATGCTTTGTCATGTGAAAATAAGGAACCGATTTACATATGTAATTTTTATAAAAAAAGAAGATTTAAGGTTAAAAAGTGGCTATAGAAATGCGAGAATTTATTAAAAGATGTTTGGAAGTCAGAAAGAGGGAGGGAAGGAAGTCGATGCTCTGTTTGAGCAATGCTTTATGTTATAGATTTGTGTCATGATATGTAGTTAAATGGGGACGGAGGTGGCGCTGTGGGTTAAACCACAGAGCCTAGGGCTTGCCGATCAGAAGGTCGGTGGTTAGAATCCCCGCAATGACGGGTGAGCTCCCGTTGCTCGGTCCCTGCTCCTGCCAACCTAGCAGTGCGAAAGCATGTCAAAGTGCAAGTAGATAAATAGGTACCACTCCGGTGGAAAGGTAAACAGCATTTCCGTGCGCGGCTCTGGTTTGCCAGAAGCGGCTTAGTCCTGCTGGCCACATGACCCGGAAGCTGGACACCGGCTCCCTCGGCCAATAAAGCGAGATGAGCGCTGCAACCCCAGAGTCGGTCACGACTGGACCTAATGGTCAGGGGTCCCTTTACCTTATGTAATTAAATATGGAAAACTCAATAATAATTTTTTTTAAAAAAGGAGCAAACAGATTCTAGAGCTCCCTTCCCTTCCTGCTGTACATATTTACTCTTTCTTTTGGAATATATATCACAAAGAGGACTCTGCCTCAAGCTGTCTTGCTTTGCCCTGCAGGACCCACTCGTGCCAGCCCCCAACTTTGCCTGCTGTTTCCGAGGCGCCCCCAGCGCCCACCCCGCCTGCTGCCTGCACCCCGGGCAAGGCCCACCTTCTGAGGAGACCCCCGCGAAAGGCATGGAAGATCAAAGGCAGGAGCTGCGTGGGTAAGGGTGCCCCGACTATTCTCTCTCGCTTTCTTTTTTAAAATCGTTTTATTTAGAAAAAAATTTTGCGAGTCAAACTTGCCAGTTCTATGTTTTGGGTCAGCTTCAGCTGACGCAATATTTGGTACCATATCTTCGCGTCATTTTTGTGCATATAATATTCTCATTAAAGAAATCAATTTACCTGTTTCTATTGGGGATACCTGTATGAGTTGTCCCTACTAAAAAGCCTTCTGGACTTTTGGGGAGAGTTACCTTAAATACCTTAAATAAAAAAATCTTGTTATAAAGAATCTCCCCAAAGTCCTTCACCACATCCACCACAAAATGAGACAACTTTCCTCTTATTCCCTCACGAGCCAGCAAAGTTCAACCTCCTGGGGCTCAGAGGTGAGATCAAACTGGCGGAAGCACCCTGAGCAGACACTGCTTTCCCAGAATCGCAGGCTGGTAGAGCTGGAGGGAAAAACAAGGGTCATCTACTCCACCCCATGCAATGCAGGAATCTCAACACAGAACCACAGAGTTGGCCACAGAGCCTGCTCAGTCCTTTTGGGGCGAGAAGGACTTGCCCCCTTTTGTTTCGACTCAGATTGATTTTTCTTCATAATAATAATAATAATAATAATAATAATTTATTTATACCCCACCCATCTCTGGGCGGCTTCCAACAAAATATTAAAATACAGCAATGCATCAAACATTAAAAGCTTCCCTAAACAGGGCTGCCTTCAGATGTTGTCTAAAAGTCAGGTAGTTGTTTATCTCTTTGACATCTGGTGGGAGGGCGTTCCACAGGGCGGGTGCCACCACCGAGAAGGCCCTCTGCCTGGTTCCCTGTAACTTGGCTTCTCGCAATGAGGGAACCGCCAAAAGCCTTCGGAGCTGGACCTCAGTGTCCGGGCAGAACGATGGGGGTGGAGATGCTCCTTCAGATATACTGGACCGAGGCCGTTTAGGGCTTTAAAGGTCAGCACCAACACTTTGAATTGTGCTCGGAATCGTACTGGGAGCCAATGTAGGTCTTTCAAGACCGGTGTTATGTGGTCTCAGCGGCGGCCCCCAGTCACCAGTCTAGCTGCCTCATTCTGGATTAGTTGTAGTTTCCGGATCACCTTCAAAGGTAGCCCTACAGAGAGCGCATTGCAGTAGTCCAAGCTTTCTTCTGAGAAACCCTGAAACGTCCATCCCTCCAAGGATGCAAATTCCCCCACCTTTTTCAAAGTGTTTGGCTCAATTTCTGTCGGCACTCAGCGCCCGAGTTTGCTATTAGCGGGAGCTGCGGGGACAGCCGAATTGTGCTGAGAGTCTGCTTCCCCCCCATCCAGATTCACCGAGAAGCTCCAAGGCCTCAACCAGCTGCTCACAGCGACGCTGCAGGAGTCCAAGGGTGACATGGAGGGCATCAGTTTGCTTCTGGGGCAACGGGAATCTGAGGAGACCGCCCTGCGCTTGGCTGTCCGGTGCAGGTGAGCAGAGGTGTCAGCGACGGAGCATGCGCTTTTCAAAACGGCTTGCGAAATCGTTATTTGTTTTGTGAAATTTGTGCACCTGTTGTGGAGCGGCTGGAGGCAAGGGAATAGAGGGAGGCACCGGCTGAGAGACCCCCAAGGGAAGAAAGCTCAAAGCCCGGGGAGGCATGGCAAGTCGATGGTGAGTGGTCAGAGGTGTGGGATGTGAAACACAAGAGCAGTCAAGTACAACATTCCTAGAGTGAACATGTTTACACATGGGGAGGAATGTCCAGCCAGCAGGTCAACTTCCTGTTTCCTTCTGGGCTGGGACAGACTTCCTCTGCATGTGACTAGAGGAGGGCGTGGCCTCACCTGTGCAGGTAATGACAAAAGCACAGGGCAGGGCAGCCATCTCTCTCTCTTTGACTACATGCATCGAAGAAGCAACATCAGCTTAGCCAAAGATGCTCTCTTGGCCAAGAGAGGACAAAGGGACTGTCTCTTTATGGGATAGTTTCCAGGTGTGTGTTACCTTTCTAAGCTAAGTCTGCCTTCTGGGATCCGATTGTGAACAGAATGTGAGTGAGTAAACTCTTTTTATACTTTTATAGAAGACTGTGTCGTGTCTTATCTTTTATGAGGGAATAAGGGGGAAATACCAGAACAGTTATTATAGAGGCTTTAGCGAGCCTGAGCAAATGCATCCGCTGTGAGTTTAAACAGGGGAATGTTACTCTGCTAAATTGTGAACTTGTTAACACAAGCTGGAAAGGCTATAATCAGACAATATATCCTATCCTGCATCCCTGAACATTCCCACAAGAGGGAGAAGATTGGGGAGACAAGGTGTCAGAAGCTGAAGAGGCAGGGAGAGTCTGTGGCAGAGAGCAGTCCAGAATCAGAGGTGGAAGCTGAAGGAGAAGAAGAGGAGTTTGTGGCTATAACCCATTAATAAACCTTATTCTTCGTGAATTTGTCCAATCCTCTTTTAATGGCAAGCTGGTGGCCACTGTTGATGGGGAGGAAGGTCATAGATGTCTCCCCCTCCTGCTGCAACAAGCTCCCCTCCCCGCTAGTCTCCCAGAACGAGGAGAGACGTGAAAAGGGCGGAGGAGAGGTTGGTTTTGCGCAGGCACAGTCTCCGATTGCTTGGGAAAACGCCCAGAAAGCAGGGAGCTTAGATGGCTGTGGGGGGAGGTGGGGGCTTTCAGCAACTGATCCATTGGGCATGGCTTTCCGAGAAAAACCTCCTGAGCAGACCTTGTTTCCTCTAATAAAGAGCTGACTTCAATTTATTGCTGGAGTGCTCCTGACAGAGCCGCTCGCTGGTCAAGGAAGACCCACAAAAAACCCTCAAAGCAGTTTGCAGGAAAGGTAGAACCAAGAAAAGACCAAATATCGGAATTTTACAAGTTGCTTGGGTGCTTTGCAAATTAATGCAAGGATCTTTGCATTTCCTGGATTTCTCAGTGAACGCTGCTTGGAGGCCTACGAGGCGCTGCTATCCTTGACAGCAACAAAACTACACCTGGAAACAGAGGAAGGAGGAGAGGATGGAGGCCTGTGCCATGCAGGTGAGTCACCGTGGAGGTTTTTGATGTTCTCTTTCAAAAGTTTACAAACTTAATAAAAGGTAAAGGCACCCCTGACCATTAGGTCCAGTCGTGGCCGACTCTGGGGTTGCGGCGCTCATCTTGCTTTATAGGCTGAGGGAGCCGGCGTGCAGCTTCCGGGTCATGTGGCCAGCATGACTAAGCCACTTCTGGCGAACCAGAGCAGCACACGGAAACGCCGTTTACCTTCCCGCCGGAGCGGTACCTATTTATCTACTTGCACTTTGACGTGCTTTTGAACTGCTAGATTGGCAGGAGCAGGGACCGAGCAACGGGAGCTCACCCCGTCGCAGGGATTCGAACCGCCGACCTTCTGATCGGCAAGCCCTAGGCTCTGTGGTTTAACCCACAGCGCCACCCGCGTCCCTTTAAACTTAAATAATACACAATACTGTTTTCCAATTAATACTCATTTATCAAATGACTTCCCCTCTCCCTTCTCCATGGTTTCCCCATATTTTCTAATATTGCCGCATCTTCTAATTATGTTATGCCCTATCCTTTCCACTTGTCCCCAGATATTTTTTCTGCTTTTCTTCATTCAAATCCTACTTGCATTTTTACATGTGTACAATAAACTTATTCTACAAAATAATACAATAAACTTATTCTACAAAAAGGTCCCAATCCTTCTTAAAAACTGTTTCTTCTGGACCTCTAATTTTCATGGTTAAATTTGTCAATTCGGCATATTCCATCAATTTTAACGGCCACTCTTCTTTTGTTGGTAGCACCTCATATCGCCATTTCTGCAGACCCTACAAGGATCCCTATTTTCCAAGGACATCCCTGATTTAGAAAAGCCGTCCCGGTTTCTGATTTGATCCCGGAATGTCCCCCTTTTCCTTAGAATATTCCTGTTTTCACTGGAGAAATATTGGAGGGTATGGAGTTATCCAACCCCTGAGCCGTCTGAAGGCAATCCTGTATAGGGAAGTTTAAATTTATTTATTTTCGTGTTTTATTATGTTTTTATATATGTTGGAAGCTGCCCAGAGTGGCTGGGGCAACTCAGTCAGATGAGTGGGGTATAAATAGCAAAATCATTATGGAATGGGATGTCCCTATTCTCATTGGAGAAGTGTTGGAGGGTATGTTTCTGCACATATAGCACCTGTTTTCAATGTTCTCACCTTACCTGTACAGGCGTCCATTGTACGTTGACAGAAGCGGTACCATAACACTATAAACTGTCATGCCTCCCCCCACAAAAGTCCTGGGAACTGTAGTGAGTTAATGGCGCAGAGGGTTGTTAGGAGACACCCCCCCCCCCCAGAGCTACAGTTCCCGGCGCTCCCTGCAAACAGGGATTGATGGTTAAACCGCCATGCAGAACAATGAGGACTGGAAACTTGTGCAAGCCAAGGCAGCCTCCTGTGTCCAGAAACATCTGCTTCCTGGCTCTCTAACGAATTTTTGGAGGGCAGCTGTCGACGTAAAACGCTTAACCCTCTTTCCGCCCTTCCTCCCTATCGCAGGGCGGTTGTCGGAGGTGAAATTGGCAGTGTTGGGCGAAGCCTATCGGTCTCTGCGACGTTGCGGCCAGGATGTTTCTGGGAGGCCTGGTCTCAGCTGCTTGGAGCAGAGGTGAGGAAAAGGGAGCTCAGATAATCAGCCTTGCAGGATCTGCATGGGATGGTGAGGGAGGAGAATGAGCTGTGAGGCAAATCATTATTATTTATTAAATTTGATGAAACTTGGTCCTCCTCCTTTCTGTACATAAGGGAAATAGATAACAAATTTCCCCCATAAATTTCCAGGCCCTTGATCATCTTGGACACCTTCCAGCTTGTCAACATCCTTCTTAAATTGTGGTGCCCAGAACTGGACAGAGTATTCAAGATGTGGTTTGACCGAGGCAGAATAGAGTGGGACTATGACTTCCCTTGATCTAGACGCTAGACTTCTGTGGATGCAGCCTAGAATAGCGTTAGCTTTTTATTTTTACTGCTGTGTCACCCTGTTGACTCATGTTGAGCTCGAACCCATGGCTTCAAGCTGCGAGATAGGAGAGTCCAACTCAACATCAGGAATAGCTTTCTGACAGTAAGAGCTGTCTGACGGTGGAATAGTTTGCCTTGGAAGGCTGTAGATTCTCCTTCCAGCGGTTCTCAACCAGGTGTTGTTGGACTACAACTCCCATCATCCCTGAGCTCTGGCCTTGCTAGCTAGGGGTGATGGGAGTTGTAGTCCAACAACATCTGGGGACCCACAGGTTGAGAACCGCTTAAACAGAGGTTGGATGGAACCAGGGAACCAGGCAGAGGGCCTTCTCGGTGGTGGCACCCGCCCTGTGCAATGCCCTCCCACCAAATGTCAAAGAGAAAAATAACTACCAAACTTTTAGAAGACACCTGAAGGCAGCCCTGTTTAAGGAAGCTTTTAATGTTTAATAGGTTATTGTATTTTAATACTCCGTTGGAAGCTGCCCAGAGTGGCTGGAGAAACCCAGCCAAATGCGTGGGGTATAAATAAAAAATTATTATTGTATTATTATTATTATTATCTGTCCCGGATGCTTTAGCTGAGATTCCTGCACTGCAGGGTCTCTTCCAACTCTACAATTCATAGAATCATAGAATCCTAGAGTTGGAAGAGACCACAAGGGCCATCGAGTCCAACCCCCTGCCAAGCAGGAAACACCATCAGAGCACTCCTGACATATGGTTGTCAAGCCTCTGCTTAAAGACCTCCAAAGAAGGAGACTCCACCACACTCCTTGGCAGCAAATTCCACTGTCGAACAGCTCTTACTGTCAGGAAGTTCTTCCTAATGTTTAGGTGGAATCTTCTTTCTTGTAGTTTGGATCCATTGCTCCGTGTCCGCTTCTCTGGAGCAGCAGAAAACAACCTTTCTCCCTCCTCTATGTGACATCCTTTTATATATTTGAACATGGCTATCATATCACCCCTTAACCTCCTCTTCTCCAGGCTAAACATGCCCAGCTCTCTTAGCCGTTCCTCATAAGGCATCGTTTCCAGGCCTTTGACCATTTTGGTTGCCCTCCTCTGGACACATTCCAGTTTGTCAGTGTCCTTCTTGAACTGTGGTGCCCAGAACTGGACACAGTACTCCAGGTGAGGTCTGACCAGAGCAGAATACAGTGGCACTATTACTTCCCTTGATAAATTCGATGATTCTAAGCGCAGAACCTGACATTTGTCCTGGCTGAAATTCATTTTGTTAGTTTGCATGAAGTTCTCCAATCTGTGGAAGCCATCTTGAATTCTGATTCTGTCTTCTGTGGCCCTGAGAGTCCTGGGCTCAATCTGTAATTGTCTGGGGCTGATGAGAGTTATAGTTTGAAATATTTAGAGGGTGCCAGGTCGCGGGAACCTGATTCTCCCTCCCTTTCCCATTCAGGTTCTCAGAGCTGCGCCGTTCGGAAGAGGGCGACAGGAAGGTGTTGCGGGGATACATCCGGCGCCTGAGAGAGGAACAGGCCTCCCTGAAGCTCCCGCCCTGCCGGCCACCTCCCGGGCCCGATTCTGCCGCAGCCAGAATCACCTCCCGGATCGGGACCAAGGTGGCCGCGGTCCAGAAAGCCTTGCGGGAGACGCTTCCCTCCGAGGCAGCTCACCCCAGGATGGAGAAGACACGTTTGCTGCAGGAGTTGCAGGAGGCGAGGGTGAGCGATGGGAGATTTGGAAACTCTTGCGCAAAATAGTCCACAATAAGTTTCTAGTCCTTAGTGGGTTTTTTTATCCCATTAACCCATTGTGTCTCAGCCGAGTCTGATAATTTTTTCAGCCTTTCCCCCCGTAGCAGGTGGGGCTGAATCTCTCCTCCTGTCCTCCCTGGCGGCAAGTCAGTAGGTCCAGCCCCCAATCCGGCGTCAAGACACGAGTCCAAAGTCCAAAGCGAAGCAGATCCTGGAGCATTCAAGACAAGATCCATCAGCGTGGGGCAACTGAGCAGACACAGCCCCTCCATTCTGCTCCCTTTTGTACAGACATAGCCAAACTCGGACCTCCAGATGTTTTGAGACTACAATTCCCATCATCCCTGACCACTGGTCCTGTTAGAAAGGGATGATGCTCCCAAAACATCTGTAGGGCCGAGTTTGCCTATGCCTGCTTTTGCATTTTGCATGCCAATTCAAGCATCTGGGGTCGACGAGGCACATGCATTGCAGTGGGGTTGGGCTGGATGACCCTCGAGTCCCTTCCAATTCCCCAGCTCTGTTATTCTGTGGCCCTCAAAACAACACCACCACAAACTGGCTTATAAGTATGCGGAGCGCAACCCGAAAATACTTATCCTGAAGCATATTTATCCCAAGGTATGACTGTATTGGGACGCGGTGGCGCTGTGGGTTAAACCACAGAGCCTAGGATTTGCCTATCAGAAGGTCGGCGGTTCGAATCCCCGCGACGGGGTGAGGTTCCGTTGCTCGGTCCCTGCTCCTGCCCACCTAGCAGTTTGAAAGCACGTCAAAGTGCAAGTAGATAAATAGATACCGCTCCGGCGGGAAGGTAAACAGCGTTTCCATGCGCTGCTCTGGTTCGCCAGAAGCGGCTTAGTCATGCTGGCCACATGACCCGGAAGCTGTACGTCGGCTCCCTCGGCCAATAAAGCGAGATGAGCGCCACAACCCCAGAGTTGGCCACGACTGGACCTAATGGTCAGGGGTCCCTTTACCTTTTTAAGACTGTATTGATATCGTATCATTGTATTTGGTCATTGTGTTGCCTTGGATATTACTGACTATTGTTTGCAACACAGGGGTTAAATTGTTTAGTTCACTAATCCTGCCAGTTCACGACAGCTCCCAGTTCTGATCTCAGGAGGCCTTGGGCGACCTCAACACGTGCTTGCACCTGACGGAGAAGGAGAAGCAGAGACTGGAGCTGCAGATGTACACTTTTCGGGCTCAGGAAGCCGCCTGCCTGCTGATGGCCCGGATCCTGCAAGGGGAGCGCGATGAGCTTCGCGGGCAGCAAACGGCGTCGACAGGAAGCAGCAGCAGCAGCAGCAGCTGCAGTGGAGAGGACTCTTCGGAGGTAAGGCTCACAACTGATCGGTAGACTGTGCTTATTTTTTCCCTTTTGGGCAAAAATAAGGATTCCCCAAAAGGTAAGAGAGATCTTTTTATACGCTACGGTCACAGCAAGAGTTCTCATTGCGGCAAGTTGGAAGAGCGACAAAGTCGCCCCCCCCCCGCGATTCCCAAGCCTTCCCCAAGCCGTTGGGGTAAGGGGGGAGCTGTGCTTCTTTGCCGGCGGCCTTCCCCTCTCCTCCCTTCGTTTTGACAGCTGGGGGGAGGCTTGGGAGTCGGGGGGGCGGGCAGCACACCGTTGCCCCCCCATGCTCCTGGAGGAGAGCAGGATGTGGCTTTCTTCGACGGGGGAAGAAGACTCCCCCTCCCTCCCTGCTTGACATTCCCTTTGGAACTGTAATAGCATCACCTCCATTGGCATATTGCAGAAAAGGGGAAGGGGGGGCTGAGGGGGAAATGTCTGGGAATCCCAAAGTCTAAACTCAGAGACTTTGACTTATGTCTCGCGGGTACCACTGTATTATGCATTTCTGAATTTCATATTACCTTTAATTGTCCTTCGCTAATAATTCTCCTCATTATCTTTCTTGCAATATTTCAAATAATTCACCTTACGAAACTTCTTGCAAACCTACTAGCATAATCGGTTCATCACAATTGCTTTTCAAATAGTCCGTAAATTTACTCCAGTGTTCTGAGAATCTCTGGTCCCGCAGGTTTCGAATCCTTCCTGTTAATTTAACCAATTCTGCATAGTCCATCAGTTTCGTCCTCGAAGAATGGAAGACGAAAGTGGGCGCTCCTTTTCATTCATGTTTCCTCTCTGTGGCATTGCAGGACTTTGTCCCCCTCTGCACTTCCAAGAGGAACGCTTCCCGGTCTTCTGAGGATGGTGGAGTAGAGCAATCCGGCGAGGAAGGCAAGACGGAGGCATTGAAGCTTCTTAACACTCTGACGCGGTGAGTGCGATTCAGCTCACCGCTTGCAGTTCCCTGGTTTTGAGGGTCCACAAAGCGCTTATTCCTGTGTGGTGGGCTTGCAAAGCAGCTAAAGGCTTTTTCCGGAAAAGGAATGCTTAAAAGGACGGTCCCTTAAAAAAAAAGACCAGAAGCGTTCCTTTTAGGAATCAGTGAGTCAGATGTACCAAAGAATCAAAAGAATTTATTTTTATATGCAACTACTGGTGGCCGAAGGGGATGCGGGTGGCGCTGTGGGTTAAACCACTGAGCCTAGGACTTGTTGATCAGAAGGTCAGCGGTTCGAATCCCTGGGACGGGGTGAGCTCCCGTTGCTTGGTCCCTGCTCCTGCCAACCTAGCAGTTCGAAAGCACGTCAAAGTGCAAGTAGATAAATAGGTACCGCTCCGGCGGGAAGGTAAACGGCGTTTCCGTGCGCTGCTCTGGTTCGCCGGAAGCGGCTTAGTCATGCTGGCCACATGACCCGGAAGCTGTACACCGGCTCCCTTGACCAGTAAAGTGAGATGAGCGCCACAACCCCGGAGTCGGCCACGAATGGACCTAATGGTCACGGGTGCCTTTACCTTACTGGTGGCCGAATCTTAAAGGCTGGGAAATCAGCGAGTCTAACCAGTAGAATGAGAGCTCAAGAGGAAACTGTGTTCAAAGAGGATTGTGATTAATAATGCATGAATAAATATATAATAATAAATGTATTGGAGGCAAAAAGGTGCCGAGTCCTCTGTGAGGGCACCGCAGCTGTCTCGGTGGAAATTGGGGGGGGGGGGGCAGGAGCCCCTCTGCCCAAATTGCCCAGCCTCACTGTCCATCATCATCATCATCATCAATAGAATTGTAAAATTGGAAGGGACCACGAGGGTCATCTAGTCCAACCCCCTGCAATGCAAGAATCATTTTCCCAATGTGAAACTCGAACCCACAACCCTGAAATTAAGAGGCTCACACTCTGCCAACTGAGCTATCCCAGTTATTATTAGAACCATTGAATCATCGAGTTGGAAGGGACCCCAAGGGTCTAATCTGCTGCAATGCAGATCCCTTACCTTTCCCGCCCCGACCTGGCCACAGTGATCCATGCAACGGTCACCTCCAGGCTTGACTACTGTAATTCGCTCTACGCAGGGCTGCCCTTGAAGCTGTCCCAGAAACTCCAGCGGGTGCAGAATGCTGCAGCGAGGCTCCTCACGGGGTCTCTGCCATGGGAGCATATTCACCCAGTGCTTTACCAGTTGCACTGGCGCCTGGTGGAGTACAGGGTCAGGTTCAAGGTGCTGGTTTTGACCTTTCAAGCCCTTCGCAGCCTAGGACCCTCGTACCTATGGGACCGCCTCTCCCGGTATGCCCCACGGAGAGCCTCAAGGTCCATAAACAGTAACACCCTAGTGGTCCCGGGCCCTAAGGAAGTTAGATTGGCTTCAGCCAGAGCCAGGGCCTTTTCAACACTGGCTCCGGTCTGGTGGAACACTCTGTCTCATGAGACCAGGGCCCTGCAGGATCTGATTTCTTTCCGCAGGGCCTGTAAGACAGAGTTGTTCCGCCTGGCCTTTGGCTTGGAGCCAATTTGATTGCCTCCCTTTCTTTTTTCCTTTCCTTCTCCTCCTGCGATGAGGCTACATTTTAATATTTTAATGTTATATTTTAATTTTGTTTTTAAGTTGTAATCATTCAACTTGTTTTTATTATTGCTTGTAAGCCACTCTGAGCCCGGCCTTGGCTGGGGAGGGCGGGGTATAATAAAAATAAAAATAATAATAATTATTATTATTATTAATGCAGGGATCTCAGCTAAAGCATCGATAATAATAGTATTATTATTAATTAAATTTGAGTACTGCCCTTCATCTGAAAATCTCAGGACAGTTTGCAGCATAACAATAAGAAAGAGAAAAACACCAAATACATAATGAAAGCAAGAACGAAGCAAACCAATAACTCCCCCTCCCACTGAGTGCCAACCCACTGAAACCTGTGGGTCTACTCTGAGCCAGGCATGGTGGGTTTACAACCCCAGATTCTCCTGCTATTACGGGCATCAATCTCCCGCCGGCCTGCTCCGGTTGCAGAGAGCAGCAGGTACAAAATTCCCTCTATGTTCTCCTCTAGCGTAAACGGCAGGATCGAGGAGCTCAGAGACCGGATCAGCTCCCTTTTGGCTGAGCTGGAAGATAGAAGCCAGGACAGCAGAGCTCAAGAGGCGCAGCAGATGGAGCTTACGAGGGACTTTTTCAAAGCACACAGGTAAGTTTGGATTGGGGGGGGTCCCCTCTCCCCAAAAAGGCCTCTGAACCCCAAGAGACCCCTGGCGCCCCCTTATCTGGTCCAAGCTAACCAGCGGCTTCTCTGAAATCCCCACAAAAGGTAACCAGCCCTCTATTCAGAATCACTGAGGGCTGGAATCTTGCTTTGTCTGAAAGGGAAAGACCTGCTTTGAATGCAGAAGGTCAATCATTGGTGGGGATGTTGCCCTGCCCGAAACCCAGGGCAGCCACTGCCGGCCAGTGTTGGCAAAACTGAGCTATAGAGACTCAAAGTGTCTGACTCAGGAGAAGGCAGCTTCCTCTAGACTAGACTAGAAACTGGCTTGCGTTTTTTCCTGGTAAAGGTTGCAGCTGAGCTGCGGGACACCTGCTTTGCTTGCAGAAGGTCCCAGGTGGGGACGGGGAGAAAGACTCCCTCCCTGAAACCGCAGAGAGCTCGTGCGGCTGGCCAGTGCGGACCATACTGAGCTAAACACTGAGCGCCGAGGGCCTTCTGGCGGTTCCCTCACTGCGAGAAGTGAGGTTACAGGGAACCAGGCAGAGGGCCTTCTTGGTGGTGGCTCCCGCCCTGTGGAACGCCTTCCCACCAGATGTCAAAGAGAACAACAACTACCTGACATTTCGAAGGCATCTGAAGGCAGCCGTGTTCAGGGAAGTTTTTAATGTGTGACATTTTAACATACCGTATTTTTCGCTCTATAAGACGCACCAGACCACAAGACGCACCTAGTTTTTGGAGGAGGAAAACAAGGAAAAAAATATTCTGAATCTCAGAAGCCAGAACAGCAAGAGGGATCGCTGCGCAGTGAACGCAGCAATCCCTCTTGCTGTTCTGGCTTCTGGGATGGCTGCACAGCCTGCATTCGCTCCATGAGACACACACACATTTCCCCTTACTTTTTAGGAGGGAAAAAGTGAGTCTTATAGAGCGAAAAATACGGTATTTTTAATCTTTGTTGGAAGCCGCCCAGAGTGGCTGGGGAGGCCCATCTGGCTGGGCGGGGTACAAATAAATTATTATTATTATTATTATTATTATTATTATTATTATTATTATTATTAAATGCCATCCCGTCTGGCTCCACCGTTTTCTCCTTTCCCCCTTCCCCTCCAGCGCCCTCGTCCTCGCCTACCAGAACGGCCGCAAGAAGCAGGAAGCCCAGCTGCACCAACTGGAGACGCAGATCAGTATGATGGGTCAACGGCAGGCTGGGCAGTTGCAGTCGCTGGTGCGAATCCTCCGTGGTTTGGAGGGCAGAGCGGGCAGCCCAGCCTCCACTTAGCACAAGCCTTGCTCAGGAAGGAAGGGCAGAGGGCTCCCTGTCCTGTCGGGAGAGGAGGGGGAAAGGGCAGCTAAACATGACCCTATTTCCATTGGAGAAATGTTGGAGGGTCTGGAGTTATGCGTCCCCCGAGCCAAGGAGATAAGTCACTAAACAACCGCCTCTCCTGGTCTGCCCCGCAGAGGACCTTAAGGTCCATGAATAACCATTGTTTAGAGGTCCCGGGCCCTAAGGAAGCCAGACTGTCCTCCAGCAGGGCCTTCTCAGTGATGGCTCCGACCTGGTGGAATGCTCTGTCCCAGGAGACCAGGGCCCTGCAGGATTTAACCTCCTTCCATCGGGCCTGTAAGACAGAGCTATTCCACCTGGCCTTTAATTTGAATTCAGCCTGATCTTTTATTTCCCTTCTCTTACCTCTGCTTATATGAAGATCACCCGCTCTGAGACCCCACAGCTAATTCTCCCCTGGCCTCCTCGCTGGCCCAAGTAGGACCAACTCAGCCATCTAGCCCTGGGGATTATCTAATTGATTTTTTAATTTTATTGTTATTCATGTTTTTATACTGTATTTTATGCTGTTTTTATAAATTAAGTGTTTTAAATTTGTTGTTAGCTGCCCTGAGCCTGGTTTTTGAACCAGGAAGGGCGGGGTATAAATAAATTTATTATTATTATTATTATTATTAAAGACATCTGAATGGACACAGGTATAGCATGAGAAGATCAGAAAATATTTCTCTATGCCACAGGAGCGGCAAAGATCCTAATTGCTAAAAACTGGAAAAAAGAAACTGTGCCAACAAAAAAGGAAGGGCAAGACAAACTGTTAGAGTATACTGAACTGGCTAGATTAACAGAGGCAATCAGAGATCACACTAGACAAGAGTTTCAAAAAGCGAGGGGGGAAATGCAGAGAAAACTTCACAAAACAGTGCCCTAAAATACATACCTGGACTTGTTTCGATTAATGTCTGCAGGAGATTTTGTGGCTATTTAAGTTATAATTAGAAAAATCTTAATTATTATTCATAAAGGAAACAGTTTATAAGAAGTAAATAAGGAGGCCGGAATCAGGGCAAAGGAAGTCTTTTATTTGGTTGTTTGTATTGTTGTACGTTATGTTCACTGTATGTTATGGTCATGTTTAATGAGGGTGGATTGTGTATTGGGGGTGGGGTGGGGGGTTTATGTTATGTTGTAAATAAAATTCCAATAAAAATTATTAAATTTTAAAAAATAAAAATAGAAGACATCTGAAGGCAGGCATGGATAGGGAAGTTTTTAAAGTTTAATGTTCTGTTCTGTTAAAATTTCTGTTGGAAGCCGCCCAGAGTGGTTAGGGCAACCTTGATGGGCAGGGTATAATAATAATAATAATAATAATAATAATAATAATGATTATTGATGTCCCTATTTTAATCAAATAAATGTTGGAGGGTATGACTTTACTACCGATTCTCCCCTTGTTTCCTGATGCAAATGGAATCATGGTGTACAGTGGTACCTTGGTTCTCAAACTTAATCCATTCCAGAAGTCCGTTCCAAAACCAAGGTGCGCTTTCCCAAGAAAGTGATGCAAAACAGATTAATCCATTCCAAGCTTTTTTTAAAAAAAACCCCTAAAACAGCAATTCAACATGAATTTTACTATCTAACGAGACCATTGACCCATAAAATGAAAGCAATCATCAATGTACTGTAATATAAAATAAATAAGGCAGTATTGTAGATGATAAAAATTAAAACTCTTTTTTTTTCTTACCTGCGCTGATGATAGTCATTGTTTGGATGGGGGGCTTTTATCCATTTCCGCAGTCACACAATCAATCAATCAATCAATCAATCAGTAGCTGAACTGGGTTGCACACAGTCACAAAAACAAATTAACCGAAAAAGCCTCAAAAACTAAAACGCTAAATCAACAGCAAAAACAAAGCGCTAAACTTAATCCGTTCTGGAAGTCCGTTTGATTTTTGAAATGTTCGAAAACCAAGGCACAGCTTCTGATTGGTGCAGGCGCCCTGGGAACAATAGCCAACAGCCGCATCGGATGTTTGGCTTTCGAAAAACGTTCAAAAACCGGAACACTTACTTCAGAGTTTTTGGTGTTTGGGAACCAAGGCATTTGAGAACCAAGGTACCGCTGTATAAGCCAGGCATCCCCAAACTTGGCCCTCCAGCTGTTTTGGGACTACAATCCCCATCATCCCTGACTACTGGTCCTGATAGCTAGGGATGATGGGAGTTGTAGTCCCAAAACAGCTGGAGGGCTGAGTTTGGGGGTGGCTGGTATAAGCCAACAAAGTTTTCTTGTTGGCATCTGTCTGTCTCTAGGGGCTACAGAGTGCGTCTTCAGGGGTGAAGCCAAACTGCTGCGTTCGCAGCACCGAAGTGGCATCCATTGGGCACAATCCTGGGCAGTGTGTCTGGGGGTCCTGGGCTACCCCGACATTGAGACCCCCCTCTTGGCTGATGTGGCCCAAAGGAAAGCAGAGCAAAATGTTTGGCACCAGCTTGGCTGCAGTTGGCGGAAGGAGGCGTACAAGGCGCCATCCAACTGCCTTAGGGACTGCGCTCCTAGTATTGAACCAGGAAATATTTGGACAATGGAGAATATTTAAGGATTATATAAGATCACATTATACCAATCACACCATATTAGGTGAACTTGAGTGATACTTGTAAGCACGACAAATACCGTTTGCGGAGTAGACGGGAACAATATTGAAGAATATAAAACTGTGCGGCAAAAACGACAGTATAAACAGTACAGTGAGAATGATTGGAAGACTCGTTTTGTTGAAAGTCTTTTTTTTTATTTAAGTGTTTAATTAAGTATTAATTATGAAGATTAATTTTTTTACGTAAATTTGCTTTTTCTTTCTTTTTTTGTATTTTCTTCTTTTCTTTTTTCTTAATTTTTTCTTTAATTTTCTTTTTGTAGTATCAGATTGTAAATTCTTTGTAAATTAAATTTGTAATTTAAATTAATAAAGATTATTTAAAAAAATAAATAAATGAAAGGGACTCCGCTCCTGATTTGTGTAGGTTTAGGCTTCCCTTCCCCTGAAAATATCCCGCAAGGCAGCGGAGGTTTAGGGTCATGTTATGTTTGCTTCATGTTACGTTTTTTCAGGTTGCGTCCGTGGCGACCTGGAAGTTCCGGAAAGAGTTACAGCGGTACCTCGGGTTACAGACGCTTCAGGTTACAGACTCCGCTAACACAGAAATAATACCTCGGATTAAGAACTTTGCTTCAGGATGAGAACAGAAATCACGCAGCAGCAGCGGGAGGCCCCATTAGCTAAAGTGGTGCTTCAGGTTAAGAACCATTTCAGGTTAAGAATGGACCTCCGGAACAAATTAAGTTCTTAACCCGAGGTACCACTGTACTTCCGGGTTTCTCCGCTCGCGCATGCTAAATCGCTCTTCGTGCATGTGCACAAGCGCCAAATTGCGCCGCGCACCTGCGCAGATACGGCACTTCAGATTGCGGGCTTTTCATGTTGCGAACGGGCCTCCGGAACGGATCCCGTTCGCAACCAGAGGTACCACTGTATAAGCTTCACAGGAGAGTCATAATGGGGGCGGGGGGAGTTATTGGGTTGTTGTTTTTCTTTTGATTATATATTTTGTGGTTTTATGTTTTGATTTTGTTCTCTGAACCGCCTTGAGACCTCCGGGTATAGGGCCGTATATAAATTCTAATAAGAAGAAGAAGAAGAAGAAGAAGAAGAAGAAGAAGAAGAAGAGTTGGAGGAAGAGGCCAGACTGCTGACATCCACCAGGGGGCGCCTTTGCACAAGAGTCATACTCCATGTAGAGCTACTGAAGTCAATGAATGGGCCTTGAATGAATCCCGTCCTCCAATTTCTATAGGTGGATTCAGAGTGTGAACAACCTTCTACGCAATCCAGTAGTTAACCAAGAACCAAAGACTGAGGTTGCTGATGAGGACATAGAGATTCAGGTTTACTGAACGTGTGAATCCCGTAGCGATTTGCAATCCAGAGTTGGAAAGCGAAGACACAGAAATAAAACCACACAAACATTGGCAAAAGCAGGTGAATACAGAAATACCAGTTGGAAGAACGTGAGATTTTTAATCTCAGGGTTGTGGGTTCGAGACCCATGTTTGGCGAAAGATTCCTGCATTTCAGCGGGTTGGGCTAGATGACCTTTGGGTCCCTTCCAACACTATGATTTTTTTTTAACATCGCACAAAACATTGCATTGTTGGTGCCCCACCACCTTCTGCCACTGTTAATTTTATTTCTCTGGCAACCATACTGAGAAAAAACAGGCTTAAACACACACACAGGCCTAAGTCCTACTTAGAGTAGGCCTAAAATTCTAGAATCATAGAAATTGTGTAGTTGCAAGGGACCTCCAGGGGCCATCTATTCCAACCCCCTGCCACGCAGGAATCTCAACAAAAGCATCCATGACAAACGACTGCCTTAGGTCCATTTTTCTACTGCGAGTCAAGCTTTGCTGGATGAGACCCAATGCAAATAAAACACTGAAGTCAAGAGAAAATAATAAAAAACAATATATAAATCAATCAAACCCTTGGTTTGATTTTTTTTCTTCTTGCTTCCTAGGAGCTGACCCTTAGCCTCCCTTCATAGCTCCTGACCCTTATCATCTGAATTCTCGGACAACCTCCTTCTCCCCCCACTCCAACAACCCTCTTTTTTGAAAAAAAAATGTTCACCGCTGTCAGCAAGATCAAAGGTGAGAGCCAGGGGTTTGATAAATATTCGCTAGACAACGGAGTCAGTGACCCCCACAAAGGAGAAGTTTTCGAAACCAGACTCCTGGCTCGGGACCAAATCCAGGGGTCGTGGCCATACTGACCCCCCCAAAAAACCCCCCAGTCTGCCTTTCTGTCCCCTCCTCCCACGCTGCTAGACTCGATTCCCCCCTTTCCGGGCTGATTTATCTTATGCTAATTAAAATTCCACGCACACACCCAAATATAGGGAATCTGATAGCAGAGGTCAACCTCTCCCCCCCCACCCCAAATTTGGAGGTCAGGCCGAGAGTGAAGGGGTGGGGTGGGGGTTGTGGGAGGGGGGAGTTGGAACAGGATGGAGGTCTTGGGAAAGCGTGTTTAAGATCTCACGATAGGGACGGCCTCTCAGCCGAAAGGGATATTTCACATTCTTAAAACATTCCCGATTCACATATGAAGATTTTGGAGGTCTAGAAGCCAAGCCTGATGAGGAACAGTTGAAGGAAGCTGGGTATGTTTAGCCTGGAAAAGAGGAGACTGAGAGGAGATAGGAGGTAAAGGTAAAGATAAAGGGACCCCTGACCATTAGGTCCAGTCGTGGCCGACTCTGGGGTTGCGGCGCTCATCTCGCTTTATTGGCCGTGGGAGCCGGAGTACAGCTTCCGGGTCATGTGGCCAGCATGACTAAGCTGCTTCTGGAGAACCAGAGCAGCGCATGGAAACGCCATTCACCTTCCCACTGGAGTGGTACCTATTCATCTACTTGCACTTTGATGTGCTTTCGAACTGCTAGGTTGTCAGGAGCCCCTGGGGACCGAGCAACGGGAGCTCACGCCGTCGCGGGGATTCGAACCGCCGACCTTCTGATCAGCAAGTCCTAGGCTCTGTGGTTTAGACCACAGTGTCACCAGCGTCCTGGAATTTGATCCCGGAACGTCCTGCTTTCCTCTAGGATGTCCCTATTTTCATCAGAGAAATGTTGGAGGGTCTGGAGCAGGCATCCCCAAACCCGGCCCTCCAGATATTTTGGGACTACAACTCCCGTCATCCCTTGCTAACAGTACCAGCAGTCAGGGATGATGGGAATTGTAGTCCCAAAATATCTGGAGGGCTGAGTTTGGGGATGCCTTGTCTGGAGTTATGCAATCCCTGAGCCAAGGATATGAGTAACTAGGCAACCTTTAGAAGACATCTGAAGACAGCCTTGTACAGGGATGTTTTTTAAAGTTTAGTGTTTTATTTATATATGTTGGAAGCTGTCCAGAGTGGCTGGAGAAACCCAGTTGGATGGGCGGCGTATGATTATGATTAGATGTTGATGACGCAGCTCCCCTTGCCCTGCCTTTCCACCCCCGAGGTGCAGCTTCTAAGTTTTGCAATTGCAAAACTGTTTCTAAGATTCTGCTTTAATATAAAATGCCACGTTTTTAAAGAGAACTCTGGGAGAAGGGCAGGTGATTATTTTAAACGACGACAAATAATCAATAATGATCAGCAATAATAAAAGTATCAATTATAAAATAAAATTAACCGCTTCCTTAAGGAAATGTAAAATGCAACACTCTTTCTCGCGGCTGCTGGTGTTAGGAAAGGCTTGGTGAGAAATTCTTGGCTCTCGGGCCTCATAAATGCTTCATCTTTGCGTTGTTTTGCCTATGAATTTTGCAAGACGTTGCACGATGGCATTGGTAAAACTCTGTGTCTCTCCGGGAGGAAATACCCTCTCCTCCTTTTTTCTTGCATTTGGAAACCCTCATTTATTTATTAATCAAAACCAAACAAAGGAAACCAAAAATTTGTTGGCCTTTTCCGAATTCCCAGGGCAGTTGTAAACTTTGGCATCGCCTGGGAAGGTAGAATGGTTAGGCGGCTTTTGGGAAAGGAATGCATGAAGAGGAGGAGGAAAGAGTTGGGGAATGGAATTACACAGGGATGAACAGTGCATACAGGGGGAAATTGCACACAGACAGTCATCCCTGCATGTTAGGATGGAATCTGGCTGCCGGTCATGTTTTCTTGACACTCCCTCTGTTTGGCTAGGGAAATCCATCTTCGAGGCGAGAAGGGGGGACGGACAAAAAGCTATTAATTTTCCTTCCTGCAAACATTCTTTGAAGCTTTTCATTGTCGCCAGCCAGGGTCCAAGTGTCAAAGGGCAGCTGATTCGAGGATGGCGTGGCTTTCAGATGGAAATGTGGGCAGGGAAGCATGTGTGTGTGTGTGTGTGTTTGTGTGCATGTGTGGGACATGATTGTGTGGTGAACCATCCCTCCCCCCTTTGATGGTCTGCAGAGAGCAGGGCTTGTGGCAAGAGCAGGAGTGGGTTAGATTTCGTTTCTGAGGGAAGGTGCAAAAATGCCAGCGAGGCTTAACTTTGCCATTTCTCGAGAGCAGCAAAGAGCACCGGTTCTCCCTCTTGGCTCAGGAGAAGCACAGCTTCAGGGCCTGGATTGGTAACAGCTGCCTGGATTATACCCTTGCAGATTAAACCGGTTTCAGAGACTTACACCTGTAACTTAAAAGCACTTAAAGTGTTCCAAGCAGTTATGTGCAGCGCTGCAATCCTGCAACAATAAGGCACCGCAGGCCCATTATACCCGTACTGCAGGTCGGAAGACCGAGGCTGGGAGAGGGAACCGCTTGGTGAGTGGAATGGTGGGAGGAACCAGCTGGGGAATCCCCAAGGGGAGAAGCTCTCAGAGCCCGGGGATTGGAAGTGGGGAGATAATGAGTAGGCAGAGGGAGAAGACTGGGAAGAGCAGGTGGCAGAAGCTGAGGAGGCAACAGGGTTTAGTGAATGGGAAGAGTCTGTGGCAGAGAGCAGTCCAGAATCGGAGGCAGAAGCTGAAGCAGGGGAGGAGGGAGGCCAGGAGGCAGAGAGGAAGTCTGGCTGGTAAAAAGTCACAGATGTCTCCCCATCCTGCTGCAACAAGGATTTTTTCTGTACCGCCATGCGTCCCAAACGCATCATTGAGACTGGAGGCAAGCCTCCCTTCAGTAGAAGTACGGACTTGGCAAAGAACTCTTAACTTCTGGCTCCGCCTAAACGCAAATCCCCCCGGTTTACTGTCC